GTTCTCACACATATTTCTTTTTTCATATCCAATCATGTTGTAACCATAAACATCAATGGGTTTTATAGCAGTTTTATGTGATAGCACACATAAAACTCCACAATAAACAATAAATCAGTTAATTGTATGATAAAAGAAATTCTCATTTTCATTTGCTTTTTATCTTTTTTTTTTTTTTACCATAAACTGAAGGATAAAAGTCTTCAGCCTGGTGTTTTGGTCTCAACTATCCCTTTTTTTGAAAGATCATTTTATTTACAGAGACTTAATTTATTTCATTTGATGTTCCTGTTGTTTTCTAATCCAAATGTCGTCCAGTTCCCGGGTTTAAATGTTCATTAGAATTTAAAGTTTATCGATCTGAGAATCTGTTCTTGCCTTTTTTATGCCATTCTTACTATTGTATTACTTGAAAATCGTCTCAAAACAACAACCTTATCGTTTATCGCAATAAATCCTGGGACAATTTATCGTCCAGAAAAATTTGACATCGTGACAGAGCTAGCTGGGACGACACAATGAGACACACAATTGTAAAGTGGAAGGAAAAAAAATATCCATTTGTTGTCCTTTTCCCTTCAAATTAAAGTCTGACAAATATGGCTTAGATGATTTCTGAGTGGTTGTACTGGATTTTATTCCGGGCAACCAGAGTAAATGGGGCTGAATAAAACTACACATCAAACTTTAACGATTAGCATCTGAGCTAACATTATGAAAAACATGTCTCCTTTTCCTTTACTTCCTAATATGAACCTTCTTGGGTTGGTCTATCACTTAACATCCAAACACAGTACACTCAAGTTGGAGGTTGCCATGGTACAAAATGTGAAAAACACACACACACACACACACACACACACACACACATCAAAAGGTGTTAATAGGCATTGCTGTTGGGAAGGAAGTTCATCTGGATCTGTTCCAGAGAACTCGACTTCAGCGTAGGAGGGGCCAACAGTGGGAGGAAGAGATGCTTCTTCTGTGCAATTTCTTTTAATCAAATCTGGAGCAAACTTCCAGTAAACTGCAAAACTGCTGAAACACTGATTTATTTTAAATCAAGGCTAAAGACAAACCTATTTAGAACTTCCTCTGATTTCTAGTAACTGGAACATTGAGCAATGAAATATTTGCTTAATGATACAGATCTGACAAAATGTAACATTTATTCCTTGTTTCATGATTGGCCACAGTATCAGTGTTAGCACCTGTTTTCAAAGACATGTTATCTTGATTATTAAACCACAGAACACTGACCACACAACTTTTCAGGCATCAAAAAATGAAACCAAGTCAGAGGATGAGTCAGAGTCAAAATGGAGGAAAAACTACAGTTTAATGGAAAACGTCGGGCATGTGTTGCAGGCAGTCTCTGTTCTCATTTCCTTAGAAGATAAGACGGATATGACCAGTATTTTTCCAACGACAGAAAACAAGGTGAATTCCGAAGAGGTATTAGGTAAAAATGTGGCACCTCGCTCCCCGTCTGATGTCAGAGAATAAAAGAGAGAAGTGCCAGGTGTAGAAGAATCCACAGCAGACACATGAGAAGTGAAAGTTGTGAGTTTAGGAAACAGGAAAGCTGCAAAGACCTGATCCAGGACCTGAGAGCTGCACCACCTTTCAGCTGACCAGATCCGCGTTTTCCGCTTATAGCTCTACTTTACACTTTTTAAAGGGCCGCTATTATGTGTTTTACAATTACACAGAACCATTTTACAGCACAGTGAAGTAACTATGTTACCTTCAGTCATTATAAAAATGCTGCATATATCAAATATGGCTCAAAAGAAATTTGACATCATATTTCAATGGCTTGAAATTGGGACTGCGTCTCTTTAAGAAGCTCCTGCTGTTTCTGAAACTCCGCCTTCAGGAAGTCACCACAGCATGGCTCTTCTATTAACCCTTTAACATCTGCTGAGAAGTAGCTGACCTCAGCTGATGAACAGTTCCACCAGATGTTTGCTAATTGCTGCTGGCTAGTCTGAAGGAGCTGAGTGAGGGAGTCACAGAAGCTTGAAAGTTTGAAAACTACAGCTCAGAGGATGGGCTTTGTCCTTGAAGGCGGGGCTAGGTCCACCCAGCTGATTGGTTGCCACGGGAGATAACAGGATTTCTCAAACATGCAAGAAAGATGCAACACTCCAGGTATTACATTATAACATGATGTAAAGCTCAAAGAAGTTGATTTTACATAATACTGCCCCTTTAAGCTTTCTTATCTTCGGTTATTTTCATAGATGCAGAAACGGAAATTAAAATATGTTGGTTGCAACAAGCCGATGGTAACATGATCCAGAACAGATCCACAAGGCTGTTGATGTTTATTAATTTATGAGCAGGAAACTCATTAGAAATAGTTTCTGTGGAAGATTGAGAACCAGTCTGCATCTTGTAGGAAAAAGAAGAAAAGCATAGGCTGGAGTTTGTCAGCCTCATTGTGAGACCGACTCAAGCTGTAAGGTTGGAGTTGTAGAGGTTCGCAGAGAAGAAGACGAGATGAAGAACGTGGACGTGTTTTAGGCTTGTGAGTATTTCATTATAACACAAAAGTGAAACTCGTTTGACTGGCGTCAAATTTTTTTTTATTGCACTGATCCCAGTCACATATTCTGTTAAATAAAGGCAAACAGGAAGAGGAAGAGCTGCTGTCTCCTTCTGAGAACCTGTACCAGCATCACCAGCAGCTGATGGTAGACTGATAGACGGGAGGCCATCTTGTTCCAGTACACCTGTCTGTGGGGTTTACAGGTGTTGGTCTGAGGCTTTTGGCTTTGCATGTTTACAGACCCTCTGTGCCACACAGTGTTGACTCTGATTCCTGTGTCCCGAGGGCCAAACAGGAGGCATCAATCGCTAGCTCTCCTCCAGCCAACTGACCAATTGCATTTTGTAATTTTGTGCTTGTACACATAAAGATGCACATGTCGCACATGTTCACCTTTTGTTGCTGTCGTTCGTCACTCCCTGTGTGATGATCCCATCAGCCAGAAAAGATGCAAAAAAAGCTAGCTAACTAGCAAGAGCACATTAGCAGCTGGTTAGCGGTAGCTTCAACCACCGTGAGTCACAGAACGCAATGAAGATTTCTGACTCAAACTTGTGCATGACACAAAAGTCTCACAAGGAACAAAAACTACATAAGATTAAATCCTCATTTCATGATACAATTTAAGGCCAGTAATTATTGTAGTTAAGGCTAACTAACTTACATATTAAGGCCTTAATTTTAGATAAATAAATTTAAGACTTTTTAAGAATGGGCGGAATAGATGTAAAACTGTAAACTGTGGATCTCTGCAGCTCCTCCAGAGTTACCATGTACCTCTTAGCGTCTTCCCTGACTGACGCTCTCCTTGTCCAGATGCTTTTTAGACGTCACCGGCTGTCGTAGGGCTGCAGTTCTTCCATTGTTGAATGTGAACTTGAACAGTGAGATGTTCACTCTTTTACTAAGGACAATAATAGTAAATCAGACTGATTACAAACACGCCACATCCTGGCAGTGTTATGTAAAATTTTTATTTCATTTTGAAAACCATGCCACTTTTTTCTTCTCACAATTATGAACTACTTTGTGTTACTTACATCCCAGTAAAATTCATCGAGGTTTGTAGCTCTGACATGACAACATGTGAAACGCATGAACAGTTTTTTGTTACCGCATCTGGGTCAGACTTGATGTGCCATAAGATAGGCGTGTTTTAAACTGGATTCAGTTCTGCAGCTGAAGTTGTCAACTCTGTGCTTGACTTGGTGATGAGCCAACCTGAGCACGGGCTTGTACATGCTCAGGTTGGCTTTTTTATTTCGGAGAAGGAAATAAAGCCCAGCTGGGAAGAATTTAAGGGAAAAACGCTGACAAAGCCTTTCAGGAAGTATTGTATGGATGATTTCCTGTAAACGCTTAATAGTACAAGCAGAGTCACAGAAAACATGTCTGCTTTAGATATGATCTTTTTTTTTTACATACAGGTTTCCCACAGGAAAAGTTGGAAAATCATGGGAACGTGGGTATTATGAACCCCGCGGAGGGAGAACTGATTGTTGTTGTGCGTTTACTTTACCTCCTGCCACCAATCCGGACTCTCCGAGCTGGATGGCCACGCCGAACCCACCCAGTTTGACGGGAGCCGAGTTCTCTTTGGACGCCAGCAGCACGCAGTGAGGCTGAGGGTGAGAGCAGAGGAACGGAGGCTCATCAGTTCATGGTGGCATTTGGCTAATTAGAGGGTCAAGTTCCTTCAAAATAACACACACACAAATCATATGAGCAATGACACACCCAAACCTCACACACATTCACACAGTTTAATCACAGTGGGGAAGTGTAGTGGGATAATTTGCGATATGCATCTGGCCTCACTTGAAGGAAGACCTTAGAACAATTAGAGGAAATGCATTAACGTGAAAATGATGTAATGTGTTGGAAGTGGTTTACAGCGCAGCAGCATAATTGGGCTGTAAAATGGACCAACATTAATGTTCTGTGGAAGCTGTGATTGTAGAGGTTTCTGTTTACGACCAGTTTCTAAGCCTGCATGTGTTTCTTCAAAACACTTCCTAACGGAACCTCGCGGCACCAAAATAAACCTGTTGTTTTCGATACAGATGACACTTCAACATAATCATCATGCAAAAGTTAAAGACTCCGTCGCTGTGACTGTTAAAGCGTCACACATGCGCAGAACGCACAGCTGCATAACAACAAAAACAGTGGTGGATAGCGTTAGTGCTGTGTTGTGATACTTAAACCTGTTCAGTTTAGCACAATTTCTGATGAGGAATATAGGTGTTACATCAACACTTCGTTAATGGGAGACAGGTTACTGTTTGGTATGAAGTGGAAGCTAGCGCGGTGGAAGCTAATGGGTCAAAAGCTCACACAACAGCAACATGTTAAAATCACAGAGCCATCTAGTGGCCTGGCATGACAACTACAGCTGACTCAAGGTTTCTTGACGGGCCTGTCTAATAAATGTGGAACTTCTTCCCAATCAATATCCAAAAATACAGACAGTTTCCAAGCAGCAGTCTCGTGTAAACGTTGCCATAAACTCTGCTAGCATGGCAATAATGCGTGACACGAATGACTGATGCAACAGCGTCATTCAGAAGGAATGTTCCCTGTGATGCAGACACGGCACTGGTATTTGAGAGACTTTTTTTTTCTATTTTCTGAGTCAGACAAGACAAACAGATAGATATTGTACCCCTTGAATTTTTCCATATTCTGCAACATTACAATCACAAACAAATATGTTTAATTGGAATTTAATGTGAAAGATCAACACAGTGGCATACAGTTGTTTAGTAGAATATTCAAATGGTTTAGATCTGCTCTTAAAAAAAATAAACAAAAAATGCAAACAGAGAAATTTTCCTAGAATAAATTGTTGAATCTTAACCGGGCAACGGCGGTTATCAACTATAACTACAAATGACCTAATTTGAGATTTTGCCAAAACTACAATGCACCTTTCACCCCCATCCTATTAAGCTTACATTTAAAAAAAAGTCACAGTGTTTGGGCAGAAATTAATTGTCAGAGCTTGCCAGCTCCAAACTGGCTTACCTTCCCTCTGGTACACTGATCTAACTGCTGTGGGTACACACAGCAGCACCTATAGGTGTCATTTCTTCTCAAAGCTTTCCCCACTCAGCAATACATCAGAGCTGTTATCAGATCCCGCAGATACGGGCCTGCCTTCTGTACTTCTGTACTGCCTGCATGCCTCTGCTGTGTAGAGAACATGAGAGAAAAGAGGGGGGAGTAGCTGCGCTCACAGCGTTCACTCTTGCTCAACACCACAGCATTCTGCACATCAGTGTTACTCTGCGTGCTTTGAAGAGCGCAGCCTCTCATAGCGGGCAGAGATAATGACCAGAGTGGCAGCGGCAGATCGAAGAGGACTCATCAGAGAACTAGGCTCACTTCATTCTGCTCCTATTTATGCATCTGAACGTACGGAGACATAAGGACATAAGGAGGAGACCTGGAACTTTAAGTCGTCTAGTTGTTTAGGATTCTTTTTGTACTGACTCAACTCAAAGGAAAGTCAAATGAGGATTTGTTCAATTACAACGTGAGTTTTATACATTTTTTCCCTCCTTTTTCTGCAGTGAAAAATACAAAGCAGGTTGTTAAAATGTCAAAATAGCTTCCTTCTGCTTTTACCATTAGCTGTGTCACAGATATCTTGATAAGGAGACCTCACAGCAATATGGAAGTGTTACTTGCTCATGGAGTCCAACCAGCAGATGGTTTTTGCAAGATTAGAAACAGTCAGATACCACAACAGATTGGTTACTAACAAAGTGCAGCAGATATTAGGCAGGAAGTTCTGCATGTGCTCTGAATAAATAAATGTGCAAGCAGGCAGAAATAGAGCTGACATCTCACAGAAAAAACAAATAGCTTGAGAGAAGGAACTACCAAAGTTATTATAGTTATATATATATAGTAATATATATATAAGTTATATATATATATATATATAAGTTATTAAAACTAACAGAATAATTAAAACTGAAAGAGAAGACTTTTTTTCTGAAATAAATAAAAACGGTAATTAATGTGGAAAAACTGTAACTAACTGGAATTATATTGTATGTTTGTAAAACTCACTAAGACATACTTAAAGTATAGATATAAGATCCCTCGTTTTTGTATTTGTTACTCTATTTAATCAGACTAATGTGAAATAGTTTTTTCCCCCTACAAAATAATTTTACGTCAGCAAATGATGGCATTCCATGCTCCTCCTGGCAGCACTTACTGCCTTATTAGTCCGCAAAATGGTGATTGCTGAAGTTGGGATAAAACACCAGAGTCAGTTGTTGCTCATCAATAATTTAATACCGTTTTTGAAATGGTGTGAGTATTCATTACCCAATCGATGTACAGTAACCACAATACAATAATTCTTAGGCACAGAATTCAAAAAGGTCAAAGTATGAAAAACTAAAAGCACTAATATAACAAACAAAAACTAACCTGAAACTAAACAATATTCAACTAATTTTAACTCATAAAAACTACCAAACACACTCCAAACACGAAGTAAAATCAACTGAATTAGGCAACAAAAAGTCACAACAAAATAAAAGTGAACTCTAATGAAAAACCCTCTTCTTTCATCTCGTCTGTTAGTAGGTAGGGCTGAGAATCACAACGCCATGATGACCTCCGATTTCACGACCCCGAACACCTCAAACGAGAGTAACACCAGCGAACTGGTGGACGACAAAATGCTCCAGACGCCGCTGGCCGTGCTCTACTCCATCATCTTCATCCTGGGTCTCACCGGGAACCTGGTGGCTCTCTGGGCTTTCTTCTTCGTTCACTCCAAGAAGAACTCCCTGCAGGTCTTCCTCATGAACCTGGCATTCGCGGACCTGCTGCTGGTCGTCTGTTTGCCGTTCAGGATCCAGTACCACCTCCAGCAGAACAAGTGGAAGCTAGGGCACACAATGTGCAAGCTAGTAGGCTACCTCTTCTACATGAACATGTATGTCAGCATCACCCTGCTGGGGCTGATCAGCATCGACCGCTACCTGAAGATCTACGGCAGCGCAGGTACTCGCCGTAAGATGCGCTCCCCGAAGTGGAGCATCGTCGTCTGCGCCATCATTTGGGCGGTGGCCCTGGCTTTCATGATCCCATTTGTCCATGAAAGCAATGACAAATGTGTCAATTCAACAAAGTAAGTCGCAGTTAGAAGAGTTTACACCATTGGTCTTGTGCTTTGCTTCAAAAGTCCCAGCAGGTGATTGTGGTTTCTTGTTTGTTTTCAGGTGTTTCCACTTCAGGACAATTCCGCAGGAAGACATGCTGAAAGCATACATCAACATCTTTGTGCTGGTCGTCTTCTGGTTGGTCTTCGTCTCTTTGGTGTTGTCCTATGGAAAGATCGCACTGAAACTCCTGCGGAGGTCGCAGCAGAGACCGGACCTGCCCACAGCGCCCCACTACAGTCGAGTCGCCCGCAAGTCCTTCTTTGTCCTGTTTCTGTTCGTCGTCTGCTTCGTCCCCTATCACGCCTTCCGGGGCTTCTACATAAAAACCCAGATCACCAAGGAGACCCAGGACATGCAGAACCTGGCCGACAAGTTCAACGAGATTTCGCTGGTGTTTTCCGCTCTCAACAGCTGCCTGGACCCCGTCATGTTCTTCCTGCTGTCTGCCTCGGTGAGGAAGGAGGTGCGGCGCTTCATGTCGAGTGTGTTACGCACCCGAGACGTCACCGGGACCAGCGTTGCTAACTCCAGCACCGAACTGGACAGCAGGAGCGACAAGAGACAGTCGAATGCCCTCGACAATGAGAGCGAGCAAAAATATGTTTTATCAAGCTCCAGCTGAGCTGCAGAATAAGCAGAGCCAGAGACTTTACTGGGATTCCCAGGTTTTGTCTTCAACTTTGAAAAATTCAACGTGGGGACTGATGGACGAGGCAACAAAGTTTCCCCCCTGTGTATCATAAGCCTGGCGGGTCACCAGACTGTATTTGTCCCCCCCCACCAGACTGAGCATCATTTATTTATTTAAAATAGGGTGTCAATAACAGTGACAGTAAAGACAGATAAAGTTCTACAGTCGATGCATTGAACTGGGTGACCACCTGCATCTGACCTCACACACTATTATTTCCAACTTATGATGCCTGCGCTTGGGCACCTAACAATTTTTGTAACTTTTACAATTTTTTAAACACAAAAACACGTTGGGTTGCTGGTGGACCGCCCTGGTGCCCATACCACCGGGTTTACAAGGTTTTTTGGGGAAACTCTGCAGGTAACCAAAAATATTAGCACAATTTATCCATTTAATGCTAGTATATCTATTTATATACATATATTTAGGGAAGGAGCATGATGCAATGTGTCTTGCAAAACTATTTAAACCCCTTGACTTTCACAATTCATCACATTACAAATGCAAAATGAAATGCATTGTATTTGGATTTTATGTTTCAGACGTACGGATGCGTTTAATAGCACAAATTCAGGTGCAGAATCTCGTTAAAACAAAAAGCTTCTCGCTGATTCATAATGAGATTTACATGTCATTAAAACTAAAATATGCTCTCTTTTAAACGAGAAAGTTTGTACCAGTCAAGTTTGTACTGTCGGATATTTAGGAGAAACAGAGTGAGAAGATGGAGTCAGAGGGAGATCCTAAGTCATAATCTGTCAGAGAAACATATTTATACTTTACTGTAGCAAAACTTTGTCGTTACAACAAGATACTTCTGAATTTATGCCCTCGCTCTGGCAGGTGAACACTTCCACACAGACCAACACAAAGCAGTGCATACATGTGGAGTGAAATGAGAAAGTCATGGTTTTCCATTCATCCATAATCTATGCATGTTTATTGTTGGGGTGGCCGTCAAAGCAGGGCGAGTGTTTACTTCTTTTTAAATAAAAATCTGATAATGTGGTGTACATTTATACTCAGCCCTCTTGACTCCGATTCCCCTAAATCCACTGCAACCACATTATAAATCGTAGCAGCCTCTTTTACTAAAATCCACTTACTACAAAGAGCGACTTTTAGATTTTGAACTCTGCATTACATTTTACAAAGTACAACTTATAGCCATCCAAAAAAAAAGGACCCTCCACACCTGAGGCGGTGCAGAAAATAATTCTGTACCTTTAAGATGAAAGTAAAGTCTATTTCTGTAGCTTCCTGTGTCCTACAAGAACGAGGAAACATGCAAATCTGTTTAACTAAGTACTACGCTCCAGTATGGGTTGTGGGGAGAGGTGGAGAAGGGCTCATTAATCAAAGCAGCTGTTTTATTTATTTATTTCTTTATTATGTAAGCTTGTCTGCCCAGGGCGAAGTGGCCTGGGGGGCGTCCAGAAGCCAAAACATTTCTTTAATGAGTCAGAAGGGCCTGAAGGAGTTTTCTTTAGCTTAGCTGCATGTTCATGTGCTGAAGTTGATTGTCTTTGTGTTTAAAAAGTCTGTGCTGCATTTATCAACCCATAGTTCCACATTTTAACAGTTTACACCAGGAATGAGTTCAATCCTGAGCTGAGTTTTATTAACTCTTTGTTTTAGAAGCGAAACGAGAAAGGAAACTTTTTGGGGGCGGCTATAAAAGGACCAGTGGTCAAACCTGGATTTAATGTCTTTGTTAGAGCTGCTTTAAACACAGGTTATGATTTATTAAAAGCTTACTCTCTATGGGATCAGTAGAGATTATTAAAATGCTCTCAGAAACATTTATCTCCATCCAGTCTTCAATCCAACAATCAAAATAAATTTAAATCGAGTCAATGTTTAGTTTTTTTTCCCCTGGTTTGGACGTTAATAGGGAGAGAGCAGGAGGTTGTGTTTAGGTTATCATGGGGTAGCAGAATGAGAGAAGGGTCACTGAAATATTATTTATTATTTAATATTATTACTCCTCTGAATAATCACTCAGGTTTGTTTAGGAAAGTCTCACAAAGTCTGTCCAAAAAAAGAGGAAAGGTTAGAAGAGAATAATGTGTTTTATCATATGAAATGCAATAAACAGCTGATCACTACAGGAATCAATATACATGATTGGTGCTACTTGCTGTTTTACTTGAATTGATTTGTGTTTCTGAAGTGTGTGCAGTTGACCTGTTGACCAGATCACTCATGGAAAAAACACCTCAGTCTCAAAGTTTTTGATTTATTTAAAAAAAAATCTGGTTAAATAAAGGATCAAATTCTTCAGTATGGGCAGAAAACTGACAGAAAGAGGATCAAGTTTCATAAAGACTGAATAAACATCTAGGATTTTTAGATTAAATACTTTTTAAAACCAAATACTCTTCACCACTGACTCCTGACTGACCACTGAAGAAGGCTTCAGCGCTAAGCTGGAACACCATCGCCCCCTTCAGGACGATGGTAGGATGTTACAGAAATTCCTCAGCTTTCACTCGCCCATGATGCACTAAACACATTTTTATGTTCAGTAAATGTAACTCTGTTAGTTCAAAATGGAACAGTGGAGAAGCAGGACATGCATGTGAACCATATATTTACATACACCTGATAAAAACCTCACAGCGTTTTCTGTTTTAGCTCAATTAGGATGAACAAACTTATGCTTATGAGCTTGTTAATGAGACTTTTTCTTTGTTAGATGTTTTCTAATACCCTTTTTAAATTGAAACGTTTATATACATTTCCTACATATTCATAAAAATATCCTTTAAACTCTGATTTGGGTTAAACATTTTGGGTCCTTCAGGCATCTGGAGATTGAACCTAAGAATAAACCAAACGTGTGGAGGCTAACAGTTATCTTCTTTATTTTATCTTAGATTTTCATGATGTCACAGGAAGTCACATGCTGGAGTGGTCCCTTTAAATATACACCTACATTTAACCGCAGTGTTGTGAAATAAGTGATCAGAAGGTTAAAGGCACGCGACAGAATCCGTGTGTAGTAAAGCATTTGTCTTTCAAAAGAAATAAAAACTCACATTGATTATTCTGGATAATAATAAAAACTGCAAGACAGTTTTTATTATTATTTATTTATATTATTTATCATATAAATAATTCACTAGGGGGAGACAACAGAAATGGAAACCAGGGTGTTAACAAAAGGAAGAGATGAGAGAAAATCAACTAAATATAAATGATAAAAACAGAAAGTTTGAGCTGCAGTACGTAACATTTACAAAACATGTTGTTGTTTTACATATTTGTTAAAAATGTGATGTTGTGACAGTATATATGAGACAGATAATCTGTGAAAAAAGAGCTCCTCCCTGAGCTTTTATTGCCATCTGCAGAAATACACTGACAAAAACAGCCAATCAGAGCCAGGAGGAGGGGCTTAGTGTTGTCAATCCTTATCGCGGATGTGCTGCTAAATGTGCTAAAGAAGCAAATTATGGTTCCCACCACGATTAATGGGCAGCCTATCAGCAAGGAGCCGTAGTGTAGCAGAGAGCAAAGTGAGAGGCTGTGAGAAGCGTGTACACAAGAATGATTGACAATGCTCGGCTCTGGTTGTTTCTGACGGAGCCGTGTGTTTCCACAGATGGCAGTAGGACCACAGTGAGACGGCAGAAGAGCTCAATTTCTTCACAGATTATTAAATAGACATAACATGGAAACACTTTAAACAAATACGTAAAAAAAAACTTTGTTTTTGTAACAGTTACACACTGCAGCTATAAAAATGTGCAAAAATGATTATTATTTAATTACAAAAATACTAGTAGGGAAATTTGAAATGTATTCTAAAAAAACTAAAAAGGGAAAAGTTACTATGACTGACGTCTGGTGATGTTCCAGCAGCTCAGAGCCGAAACAGCATCAACAGAGGAAGGAAACCAGAGCATCTGATTAACAACACTAGTTCTCAGATCAGCAACATCTCTGAGGGGATGCTGGGAGATCCTGTTTTCTAACGAAGAGATTTCCTGGGTTTTTAGCCCTGTGCTCAGTAAATAAATGTCAGATTTCCTCTTTCTGCTGCTACTCAGCTACCAAGTTGCTGATTAATTAGAACAAAAAAAGTAGATAATGTTCTCTAGAAGTCCAAAAAAGCACAACCTAACAGAGATGACAATGTGATCTGCATGTAGACGGACGTGGGCGGTTGTCCAGGATAAAGGCAGGCTGCAGTTAATGACACATACACATTTTACTTTGTGCCAATGTGATGTTAGATTTACATGTTACTTTACTGCAGCTGAAGGACATACAGCAGGGTTTCTGCTGGTTTACGACCTACATCGGGCATATGTACAAAAGAAAACAGCATATTTCATACATGTATTTATTTTTAAAGAACGGAGGAAGAAATGGTAATCCTTGCAAGGTTAACTTTATATCTATATCACATTCTTACTAAACGAAGACATCAATTACCGTGGGTTATTTTTAAATATCTCTTTCCCCATTTGTCATCTGTGGCTCTCCGTTCTATTTTGGTCTGATGCTCCGTGTTTCCGTTCTCATTTTCAGCTGTATTTCCCTTCATAGTAACAACTTTGTTGAAATAAAACTCCTAAGTAAGTAAAACCGGCATGTGACTACTATGTTTAAAGTCCACTAAACCTCAGACTCCACAGTTTGCATCAAACACTGCTCCTAGATCAATGCTAGCATTAGCAACGCCACAGGAGCAAAACTGTCACATTTCTGGGGTCTTCTTGTGGCTCTTGGCAGCAGCTTTGTGTTTCTCACACTATATATGGCTGTCTACAGTCTTATCATCTGCTCAGAATGAACTTGGAATAAAGTGAGTCATAGGCAAAGATAAACGTCGTCCAGCCAACCCTTAGCCGATGGTAGACACCACACAGCTAGCTAGCGAGTAACGCTATGCTAGTAGCTAGCTTGCAGTAGACTTAAGCGTCTCCATGATAGATGTAAAAAAGCTAGCTAGCTAGTAGCAATGGTATGTTAGCAGCTAGTTAGTGGTGGCCTCAACCGCCTCAAGTCACAGAAGCAAATAAGGAAGATGTCAGACTTTTCCCTGACAGAAAAGTCCTGCTATATAGAATAAACAAGATGAAACGGTCCGGCCACAACAAAATTTAAGATCCCTGATTAACAGGCAAAAACATATATTTTATTGAATTTAAGACATCTCCATCTACCTTTAAACCCATCGTTCCTGCAGCTGAATGGGAAACCGTAATGTTCCCAGATTTATCTTACTCCCATGTTTTTAGTGTTGCTTTTAAAAGTTCCACAATGAAACATAAAAGTTATCCACTGCATGTTTGCGGGGTTAAAGTAATGATATCTCCATTTTCTGTTGTACTTGGTGTAAAGCAGGGGTCCCCAAACTACGGCCCGCGGGCCGGATCCGGCCCGCCACGTCATTTGGTCCGGCCCCCTGAACAATGCCGGATCCGGCCCGCCTCCTCATACCAGAGAGCATTCAGTGTTTTTTTTTTTCATATATTGTATTTTCCGGTTTATATGTGGATTTTTCTTCAACCACCAGGGGGCTTTTGAGCAAATGTGAAACTTACTTTCCTCAATGGAATATATACTCGTCAGTCACCGTTTCACTCACGGTTTTTTCCATTTGCATTCTGGGTAAAAATCTATCCAAAAGTGTCGTCGTCTCCTCCCTCCCCCCCCTTCGACAAGAATTTCTTTGTTTTTTTTTACTGCAAAAACTAAGACCGGCCCCCGACCACAGAAAGGAACAGCTATGTGGCCCTCGCAGGAAAAAGTTTGGGGACCCCTGGTGTAAAGCAAGCACTAATGGAGAGGGCTTTAAAACGTGAGGTCAGACGAGTAAAACATATGAAGTTACATTTCACGTGAAGAAATAACGTTACTGTTGTGCTCTGCAGATAGTCAACAAAACAGTCTTCTGGGTGGGGAAAACTCTGATTCTGCAACAAAAGGGAAGAAAGCTAGTTGACAAAAAAACCAAAAAAACAATGCACAGCAAAACCTGAAATAACTCAGTGGCCGTTTTCTGTGTGCTCTGTCTGGATCTGCTTACTGTTTGAAGTTGAAATAAATTTAGATGAAGTGAAATGAAGGTTGAGGCTTACAGACTAACCAGCCCACTTCTGCAACATTTACTATAAGTGCTCAGTTGTAAATAAAGAGGAAGAAGCCCAGAGAGCTCACTGTCGAGCGGCCGGCTCCTGAGCAGCTCTCTCTACGTCTGTACCGCTGAATGCCTGGCTGAACTGAGACCACAGGTATGTAGAAACCACGCTTTGATGGCGGCAAGATATATCAATGCAGAAACTCTCCTGTGACTCACGGTCGCAGAGAAAACAAAGAACACCTCAGTGTTCAAGGGCTGCAGAACCAGAAACTACTGGAATATTATTTTTGACTTCAGCAGCCTTTTATTGTTGCCTAGGATACTTTGCTTGTTGCTCCTTCCAGCCTGGCTTCTTTATGAATAACTTTTGTATGGTCTGACCACAGTATTTAAAATGCGCCCAGGACTTTGACAGGGACATCAAGACACCTTGATTCCTTTTTGTTGTTTGTTTTTAGCACCAGAGTACATTAAAGATCTCCTGCTGTTGTATGAACCATCCAGACCGCTCAGGTCTTCTGGTTCTGCTCTGCATCCCCAGAACCAGAACCAAACGATAAGAAGCAGCAGTCAGCTCCTACGCGTCACTAATCTGGAACAAACTTCCGGAAAAGTGAAAAACAGCCTGAGCTCCTTTAAATCTAGACTAAAAGATCCACCTGTTGATTTTGAGCCGTGATCAATGAAACACTGAGCAACATTTTGATGTGTAAAGACGACCTGTAATGTTTCAGTTGTTGACATCTGCATCCAGTTTGTTGTGTATTTGATTCAGTTTCTATGCAAAACGAATCTGGAACAAACTTCCAGTAAACTGCAAAGTTGCTGAAACACTGAGTTCCTTTAAACTGAGATTAAAATCCCTCCTGCTCAGATCTGCCTCTGATTCATAAAACACAGAACACTGATCAGTACATTTAGTAGCTTTAAAATCATACGTCCTTTTCTTTCCCTTCAGTTACATGTTACTAGAAGTTGATCCGTCATCTGCTGTGTTTTCTTTTTGTTTTCTGTATTGGAGAGTGTGTGAGATTTAATTGCACACACCACTAATTATTGCTTGTTCACATACACATATATGCTTAAATCAGTCTCCCTGCACGCTAAAGTTAGTGGCAGAACGCACCGCAGCATCTGAGCAAAACTGCAGGAAAAGCAGGGCATGTTTAACCATCTCACAGATGCAAAGCAAACCCAAACCATCACCCCTCCACCACCATGCTTAACAGCTGGAATCCACTGTTTGACTTAAACATAATGTCAACCATCTCTACTTTGGTCTAAACTGTCCAAACGACATTCAAGCTGGCAAAAATACAGTGTGCTGCCATAATTAAAAAAATTTGTTTTAACAAGTTGTAGTTGTTCTGCTTTTTTTTTCTCTCTCTCTTTTTTTTTTACTGTCCTGGTATGAACTGTAAAAATTTACATTTTCACTGAGGTCTGCAGTTTTGTTTTTTATACATTTCTCTTAAGATCGTGCTGCTCGACTTTCCTGTGATTTTTTTGTTGTTTTTAACCTCATGCATAATAATGTCGGCGTTTAAATGGTTAAAATGGCCTCTCGACTCACCTCAGGTTGACAGGAACCAACAGCTGTTCCTCTAAGGTCACTTACAGCTGATAATAGTAATAAACGTTATTTAGAAAGGGGACAATACACAGCTCAAACAAATGTCACCATTTGATAGGCCGTACCAATTTTTAGCAGAAGATAATCTGCTGTCCCTTGACGGGTTACAAAAAAAGCACAAGATTGTTGTGGTGTTAACTCATATCTATTTCTTGTGTTGTTAACACCTCCAGCAGTACAAAATATGATTCAATTATTCAATCCTTTTAGCTGGGACCACTTAGCTGCTGCTTTCCCCTCCGAGATCCTAGCGAGGCGTCACGTGCACGCCTGGTTTTACCAGCCAACAGTTACGGAAATGCTCTGCCCCCTCTGAATCAACATTGGGCAAGAAGTTACAAAAGGGTGACATTGCTAAAACACAACATTTTTTTTACGCACGGCATGTGCAACATCAACAGAGAAAGAAGATTGGTGGTTTTAATTACGTTCATTCTAACCTGCCGTGATTTCTGCCGTCCTGCGTTGGGTTAGAGCAGATCCTTCATGACAGAGTTCATGTTTGATCCAGAAAAAGGTTCAGCTGAAACTGGTGGTAAATTCTTTCTAACTTCCCTTAAAGTAAAGGGTTTTCTCTGAAACGGGAAGGAAAGGAGTCATGCTAACCTACACAATCTTCCACCCAGGTGGTGCGAAGACATGGAGGGACTCTGTAGCTAAGCAACAAAACTCAACCGCCAGGTCCACTGGTTTGCCATGGACAGAAGAACCAGTCTGTGTCTTTGGCTCTTGGGATCAACTTCTTGCAATTAATTTATCTGAAATCAGACTCAATCGAGTCAGGAGAATAAAACATCTGAAAGGAAATATAAAGAAAAACAAAAGAAATTTCCCGCAGCGCAAACAAAAACACACATACATCGTGTGGGTGTGTGGGTCAGACAGACAGTCTCTTAAAGCAGTCTTAGTCTCTTGCCTTCTGCTATATCAGCACAGCATGATACAGAAATGTGACCTCAACACAACCACAGGTACTTCTCTAACTTAGACACAAGAAGACCACATCCTGTTTTTAACTTTAAAACACTTTAAAACTTTAAAACTTTAAAAATGTCAGAGTGATGGTTTGTGAGAAAAGAGCCAAAGTTACGTTGATCCTTTCCGACTCCATGACCAGGTAATGTTGGATATTTGTTCCCCAAGGCTCTGTTATAAACCTCTGAGTGCTTAGTGAAACAGAACAGCTCACTAACACACTTTGTATTTGTTAAGGCTCCCACATACTCGGGAATACCATGCAAACCCTGTGAGCTGCACAGACTCTGTACGTACAGTCTGCAAACAGTTGGAGCTTTATAGTCAGGCGTACCGATTCGATTCTCCACATTTCTCGGGACAGATTCCTTCATTTCCCACAGTCCTAATGGATGATAGCAAGTTTGATGAGCCAGGTGGGTTCCTATCCCGGTTCCTTCTCCGTCAGGGCAGCCACTGCACACCTACCAATGCAGCAGCAGTCACGCTACTCGTCATTGCAACTGGTTGCGTCGACTCAACATTCTCAACAATGGGGTTGAATACAAATGCACGTTACACTTTTTGATTCTAATCTTCTGAAAATCATCTATCATCCTTTTCCTTTCACTTCACACAGCAGAATAGCTGCTTTTCACATTCATATCAAATTTAAACATATTAAAGTGTGTGGTTTAAAAACTTAAAAGAACTATGAAGTCTTTTGCTTAAAGTTGATCTTCATTTGATCTCTTTCAGATTAAATGGAGAACCCATCGGAGGACCCATCGTCTCAACTTTCACTCCGTAATGCCTCCTGCTCCCTCTGTCCCTCAGCGGCAACGCTCTACTTCCTCCCCTCCATCTACGCGCTCCTCTTCCTCACCGCTCTGCCGGGGAACCTGCTGTCTTTGTGGGTGTTCCTGCGCTGCATCTCTTCCATCTCCCCCACACACGTTTACCTCACCCACCTGAGCATCTCTAACCTGCTGATGGCCATCATGGTGCCCTTCCTGGCGGTGTACTTCGCCATAGGCACGCACTGGTCCATAAGGGACATCCCGTGTCAGATAGTCCTGCACGGCATCACCCCTGTGCTCCACATCAACATCTACATCAGCCTCCTGATCCTCACCTGGGTGGCGCTCAGCCGGTTCGCCGTGCTCATCCGGAACACCCACGCCTCCCGGCCCAGCGCCTGCATCTCACTGCTGCCCCACAGCTTCTTCTCGAGCCTCACGCGGGTCTCCTTCGCAAACGGGGTGTGCGCCACGCTATGGGTGGTGGCGGTGGGGGGCATCGTTCCGGTGACTGTTTACTACTCTATAAACGAGGCAACAAGAAGTGAGGAGGTGTGCTACAGCCCGGTGGTGGAAATGGGAGGCAGCGTGTCTTCAACCACCAGCGTTTCCCCTGTAATCCTGTTCTTCGTCCTCTACCTGCTGGTGCTGGTCTCGTACATGACCGTCCTGAAGCACATCAGACGCTCGCGCCGCAACGCAATCATCACCAGCTCACAGAGCCTGCTGGCGAGGGTTTCCAGAAACATCGTGGTCATCCAGGTGAGAACTGCGTTTCATCGTCATTGTGTTCTGGTTTTGATGAGTCAAACGTCCGGGTGTCGAGTCAATTACAGGAGCAAGAAGCAACATAGTTTTCATCAGATTTTTATTCAAAAGACCTGCACTTTCCAGTAATCATTTAAGGTTGTTTCGACCAATGATCTCTCGGAGTTTCTGAAGGTCTTGCAGAAGACTTTTTAAATGCAAGAGATGAAACAACACTGTTGAGGCTTTCCCTTTGCCTCAGAAGACAGAACCAGCAGCTGGGTTTGACTTTAGATAACAGTGTTCCCATTAACATAGTCGGAGAAGTCGGAACTTCAACAAGTGCACCACTTTTCATTTGTTCAGTGTAACTTCGTGTAACATGTGACACTGACTTCAGTTTTCTCCACAGCTTTCAACTGTAGACGCGAGGAGCGGCCTTAAAATCCTAACTGAGGGTAGTTGGAGTTTTTCCCTTTCTGAGTGGGAAGTCCAGCCTCGGAGGAATTGAGGTTGCTTTTCCCGATTGGGACAACTCTTCTGTAAACGGCAGATTTCAGAACTAATATTCCACTCAATGAACACTGGGATCAAATGTTTCCAATCCCTCAATCTTTTTATGTTTATCTCTTTGCTATTCCGCACACAGTAAACGTGTTGCATAGTGACATATTATATTAAGATACAGTCCATCCCAGCTCCAAAAAGGAAAAATACAGATTAAATAACTGAACTTACAGTATTTATCTGCCTAAGCTGTTGCTACTTGGGATAAATACTTAAACAGTTTCTTTAACTTCTGGCAGCAGGTAGCTGTGCTAAAATGCTATCGCTAGCTTAAACGTAAACAGAAACTGCAGGTATTTGGGCGCATTGGTTTCTGCTGCAGTCCCAATATTTTCTACGTCAATGTTCAGCCAACGGCTACGTGGCTCCAGCAGCTGTTGGCATCATGCAGCCAAAGTGAAACAGGAATAATCCTGCGACCCATTATGCAAATAAACTAATTTCCTTTCAACTTCATTGTCTGAATCAATGAGTAATAGTTAACGCCACACAGCTTAACACATGTAGTTGTTCTTTGGCTCCTAAGATTAGCAAAGAGACGTCAGCAGAAAACCATCAGCAGAAAACCTCCATTCCAGTTCATCTGTTACAGAAACCAACTCCACTATTCCTCTTTTGGATAATGATGAATCATAGTCAAAAGAATAAAATTAAAAAAGGCATTAAAAAGTCTGAAAATCTATTGTACTGCACTGCAGAGAAGTCTTGGCTTGTTAGAAAACCCGTTTATGTTACAGGAAGGAACCTTCCCTTCCTGTTTCACAGAAAAAATTTGACTTGAAAGGAAGTCACAAAAAAGGTGCCATCGAATTGAGCTGGCTCTTCAAGTGATGGACTAACGGCATCTTTGTTCTGGATCAAACACGAACTCTTTGTCAGGAAGGATCTGCTCTAAACGCGTTTAGGATCTGAAATCCTGGCAGCTTGGAAAGGAAGTAATTAAAAACTGAAAAGTGAGGCATGTTCATGTTCTCCGGATGTCATCCAGCCTCAGAGTGGCTCAGTGGAGAGCGTGAGATGTGTGGATACATCAGCAGCAGCGTGGCTCCACATCTCACTGAGCATAAAGCTAAACGGTGTTTCTAACAATGTCTTCTACATTCAAAGAACGAGCAACGACGACAGCAACATTTAAACCACAGTTTCTCTTTTACAGTATCTTGCACCATATATGGAAATGCAAAGTGGTAAGGGAAGACAAACAGTCCATCCAGAAAGTATTCACAGCGCTTCACTTTTTCCACAGTTTGTTGTGCTGAGACCTTATTACACATTGTACTTCATCTCTTCATGAAACAGAAAGGTGGTTCGGTGATGTTTTACAATTTTTTTAAAACTCTGTGCAGGTTGTCCTTTCTTTGTGTCTGTTGCCATACCACATCTTTAAACCCATCTTCATCATTCTGGCTCATTATCAGCCTGCCTCTCTGCACTCCTGTTCTGCCACCACCTGTCACCCCCTGAGCGTCTTCATCGAGGTAACTGACTTCCACCTCCATGTCTCACTTCCTGGCTTCGGAGCAGATAGCATCACCTCCTCTCTGCTCTCTCTCTCTCCAGCTAAAGAACTGCCTGTTTCTGCTCGCCGTTCTGAGATCCTCCACTGACCCCGTGATGTACTTCCTGTTGGACAGGACCTTTCGCCAGCAGGCCCACAGTCTCCTAAGGAACAACAAGCGGGACTTTAACAAAGGCCAAATGGTATGGACGACTACGGGGAGTGCAAATCAGAAAACAGAAAAAGTCGGGGACGGAAATGTGATCTTATCGAGTGAGGTGTTAGCTTGCGAAAAAAGTTAACAGATAAAGTGCGATAAATAAGATGTGCATGGATTATTTCTTATGCATTATAAAAACCGGAAAACATGAGGAAGAACCGACGTGTCAAGCTGAACGTGTTTTAGACATTTTTTTTTTTCCCCCAAAGTGCCCCATGTGTCACAACAACACTGCAGAGATGCAACACGTCCATCGTGGGACAGAATGCATGTGTGTTGGGCCTCCAGCCATGAAGAGGATCAAAGACACTGATATAAGAACTATTACTCCCACAATGCATTGCATTAACCTACTTCCCATTTAGCAGGAAGAGGAGGAGTTTCACTGAGTGAATATGTGACATCATGTTAACAGGCCAGTCGATGAAAGAAGTTGTCCTCTGTTTTATCCCATCAAAGAAATAAAACCCTGGCTAGGAATCTTTGATTTACTGATTCCTGACAACTGAGCTTCAGCCGCCGTTGTTTTCCCTTAGCTGGAGAGCAAAGAAGAGGTTAACCGTGGTGCCGCAAACAGTGCTCCCATCCACTGGCTCCCTTCCTTTGCCCTTCATGTTCACCATAAATATCCTTGGTTCTTAAAAACTGTTCAAGTAAAGTCTGTGTCTGGACAGAGGTAAATTAGTTAGGACAAAGCAACGTATTGCCTCATTGTGTTTTTGCATTGTGCATGCTTAAAACTTTTTGCTTAAAAAAGTTTAAAACAGTTTGCTAGCCTTAGAGCTAGCAAACTGGATTGATGGCTCCAGCTTGCTAAGGTACTTGAGAGTCCAGGAACATGAGCTTGTCTGCATTTTTTACTGGTATTTTTCCTTTCCTTTCTTTTCGCTAGTCTATATGAAACAGCTGTAGAGCAAGCTAAAAGTCAGTCTCCTGAAACGCTAAATGCTAGCTAAACTAAGCTAATAGTTAATGGAAAGCAGTAACCAAGACTATCAGTGATTCAAGCTATTCAAACTTGATCCACTGAGTGGTTTCATCACTGATGGTCCAGTAACATGAGCTTGTCTATATTACTGATATTTTAAAATCTTTTTCTTCTTTTTCTTTTTGCTAGCTTATCTGAAATAGCTCTACAGCCAGCTAAATGTCTGTTCATGCCACGGTCAGCCTCGGCAAACCGCAGGTGCTCAAAAACAATTATCGCTATTAATGGTGCTTAGACTTGAAAAAGATAGCTAAAACTAAAAAAAAGAAAAAAAAAATAATAATAAAAAAAAAAAGAAGCAATGCCTAAAGTAGCTTCTAGTTGTCCGTTTAGTCAGCCATCTTGTGAGAGGTAACAGGATTTGGTGAGATCTTGGTATTTACGTTTTGGCAGTTTATTTGTTTTCATTATTTTTTCATCTTGTTACAATAGCCTCATTAAAGTATTTTAACTGTAAGGTTGTATTTTTTTTTGTTAATAGACTTGGATATATAGAAGGTAAGCTGTCTATGATCATTTCTGAGTGTAGAGCTTGCAGTTTGAAGAATGCTGGGCTTATACGTTCATTAAGCATCATTTCAATACCTAAGCCTTAGCAGACAGATATTTATAGACAATAACTGAGACTGAGCCATGCCACACAGACCATGGATCAGACCATGGATCCCCCTTTCCCTAGACAACCAACAAGTTTCAGCAAGATGTTGGAGCTCGCTTTAAGTCAACAATTTCTTAATATTGATGAAGTTTTTGTTCCACTCGCAGATTTTTCCCCATGTGAACATGAAATAATCTGTACAACCTGCACAAATATTTAAGCAGATGGGAAGTTTGCATTTATATTTATACAGCTTCCTCTTTTTTATTCTGTTATTCTTTTCTTCTTTTTTTTTTTTTACACTTTGTCTGACTGGTTTCTGTTTGAGATCTGACATGCGTCGTTCTGCATCTGTTGGATGACAATAAAGATAATAATTTGCTCTCAGCTCAGGGTGACTATCCTGCAGTCCTGACCTCAGACCTTCGACCTCCTGTTTGTGTCTCATTCTAACAACTATTGCTCCTTTTCCTTGTTTAACCTGTGAGTCGTGTTAATCCCCCTCCGTGTTCAACAGGTCATAAATATGTGATATGTGTGTGTCATAAAGTTTGTTCAGTAATCGGAACTAAATTATAAATAAGGAATTACTCTGAGTGTGGATGTGCTGAAAGTGTGTGTGTGTGTGTGTGTGTGTGTGTGTGCGTGTGCGTGTGTGTGTGTGTGTGGGCGACAGGAATCTATGAAGCTCTGTCATGTCATTTTATCTCAGCATAGCATCTTCTTCTATTATGCATCTCATTGTCCAACTCCGTTGCACATTGAGGTCTCACAAGGTTGGAGCAGAAAGAGGGATAATCTGGAACCATTCCTCTTTGCTGATTGGTCCAGAGTTCTGGGTCCGATCTCCTCCTCTGTTCACCCCGCAGGGTTTCTGTAAGTTTTAGTTCTGACGCTTGTGACGCCAGTGAGAAAGTTTTATTTTCACAACTGGTGGACCAGCAGTGTGTTGACTTGGTCATACTCTTTGCTGCTTTCTTGATGAAGACTCAGTGATGTCCCGTTCTTCTACTGACTTGCACAGTTCACCAGATTTTTATTTAAAACTGGGTATTTCATAGCTCTGTCATGGTTCTCATGGCATTTTAAAGGTTGTATCTTTAACCGGTCATTCCCCAGTCAGATTCCATCCTATACAGTTCCTGATACAAGCCAAGTTGGGTATTGTGCTTAAAGTACTGCACACTGCGTCTGTTGATTAGCACGTAGGTTTATAAACAACAACATCTCAAACACCATTTTCAATTTCAATTCAGCGAGCAAATTTACAGAGATATTTCAGAGAAACTGTCCAACCAAGGGCACACACACGAAATCATCAGAGCATCGACTACAGATCCTGAGCCTCATGTTCCTGCCCAAAGACTAGAAAATGAAAAAAGGAAAAGGGGCTTTGGTGAACTCCAGATGGCACCCTTTGTTGCAGAAGCAGTGTAAATATTGGTTCTGGTCAAGTCTATTAGCGAGTATTACAAACCAATTAAACATTCCCAGAAGCTCACAAAACCTTTCTAAACTGTTCGGTGTGAGATTATGTTCTAGCATAAACAGATGAAGATACTTTTGGGCTTTTTACACATGTCTACCTTAATCTCTGAGTTTTGACTCCTAATATATAAGTCTGATAACTTCTCACGTCAAAACCACCGAATAATTCAGCCGCGTATGGACATATAACTGAGCATCTAGAGGTAACACCATCCCACGTTGGTCGTTACATAAGCCACACTTAGAAGAAGGCCCGTCTGACCCGACTAGAAGGCGTCGCGTAAAAGAGCCAAAAAATACCAACAGCCTCTGGTTTAACGTTTAAAATTTTGTGTTTGAATGCAGATTCAACTGTTTTCCACTGAACAATAAATATTTCAGTTCACAACAAACGCCCACACTATGAGTCAACAGACGTCTTAATTCAATCAGACACACTCTTAGCTGCTAAATATCCTCAGAACCAACTCTACTTTCAGTCAGTAGGTGAATCACATTTTGTTCTCTGATGATGAAAAATATCATTAAGAATAAAAAAAAGATTGCTTTTAGAAATGGAACAAAAAATAACTAACCAATTAACATCTGATAAGCAGCTTTAATCAGTTTAAGCTGCTAAATGTGTAACTGAACCAGTGGAAAATGCAAAAAAAAAAATCCCCGCCCTACAAAAGTTTATTTCTAGAAACGTCTGACCCGACCTGCCTGATGCATGTCTGAAGGAGAACCCTCAATCACAGAGCATCACGGTCAACACCTCAAGGATCATTGGATGCCATTATAGAAGTCGTTAGCTCTGCCACGAAACCGCCCATCATCACACACACACGTACGCACACACACACACCAGTAATGATCCTGTGAGCAGCGCCAGTACATGGTTCTGAGGTCCAGGTGGACTGAGGCCATTTGCTCTTGTCAAACAGCTGACATTCACGTGTTCTGTGGGGAAATGCGTCTCGCCTCCATCAGTCACACTTGTAGCTATTCATATGCAAAATGTGGCATTTGAGCCTCTCTGGGCCTGTGAGGGACACAAAACTGCTGCCTTCAAAAGCTGACAGGAAAAAAAACAATCATTTATGTCCCCATGTAAGCAGTGTCCTCACATCTGTATCCACCACAGCAATGAGCCGTTTCAGATGAGAAGGCGCCACATTAACAAAGTTAAGGAAAAATTGTTTGGGAGAATAAACCCGGGTCGCACCGATTCACTTCTTCCGGGCTACCGATGCCAATATCTGAGGTTTAGTATCAGCTGAAACCGATCTGATGCAGAACAGCATCACTGAATTGACTTAAAACATTTCTCTTTTTTTTTTAAACACGGACATAAATATCCTGAATTCCAAATTAATTTGATAACTCTGCGTCAGAACAACACTCTTAAATACAAAAGGTTTCACAAGCTTTGTCAAACATGTAAAAACAACTCTGATTAATTCAGTCAGTGCAGTTAGAAGTAGAACGGCCCATGGAAAATAAGTAATAAAGAAACTGAAAATAACAAAAACAATAGAGTGACTACTTGGTCAAACATGCAAAAACTAAACTGTAGCAAGGCTTCTTTCAAATGGCTCAGAAAGTGTAACTGGAAATAATAAATAAAATGTAAAATAAATAATAAAGCACGATGTCGCTCAGAGCACAAAGCACAGAGTTAGATCATGCTTTGTGGATGATTAATTCATTAATTTGGGTTTATTTGACAGCAACACACACAAACAAACTGAACAGAACAGGAGTCCCATGTGTGCATCACAACGCTTATACCAAAAGCTAATTTGTAGCATTTGTCTGTAAAACAAGACGGCAGGCTGAAATCACTCAGCGCAACGACAGCTGCTGCAAATAAAGGCCACTAGTGGCAGAAAAAAAAAGAGAAGCAGTCAACCGGTTGTGCAAACGCCCCCCCTGCCTCCCCACACAGACAGTTATATTCCAGGATATCCAGTGCATATAGGATCCACAGACCCCTGTACTTGTGCTCCATCCGACAGGAGAGCCTCTCACCTCGGTGTGTTTGCAGATAAAAGAAGTACGGTTGCTGATAAGCGAGGTGCGGGGATTTATGTTTCCCATCAAACGTCCTGCTGCGTTTTCAGATTCCTCGCATCTGTGATTTCCAGATTCGACATTCAGCTCTCCTCTTGTGGAGAGCTGAATGTGCGTCGAAGCACGAACGTGTTGGGTCCCGGAAAAAGATGGTTCAACCTTCACAACGGGCCGCCGCGACTCGGGCCACTAAACAGATTTAATCTGATCTAATGGCGGGCAAACATCGGCAGAAAACGGATACATGCAGGTGCCACCGGGGGGAGGCGTTCGGCGAAGCGTGTTGGGGAGATAAGTGCAGAGGAGAGGGGGACTTATGATCGTCAGGGGCTTTAAATGAATCCTTTGACTTTCATGCGTGAAGAGATGCGACTCTGGAACCCCGATCCATATTTAACGAGTCTGGTTTTGTGAGCGTGCTGAATGTGAGTCTGTCCCCTTAAAGGGCACTGAGAAGCCTGAGAAACACAGGAAGCTCACAAAGCCACAGCGATAACAGAGGTGTTCACCATCCTGCAACAAAGTGGAAGTCTGAGTCTCTAATGCAGGGCGTGTCAAACTCACTTTCGTTACGGGCCAAATCGGGATCATGAATGCTCTTAGAGGGCCGAGTGTGCCAGAACGTATCGATAAAAAGGGGCAGTATTAGTGTTTTTCAGGCACAGACTGTCATTTTATATTCAGGTAAGTATGTTACCTTCAGTTGTGATATAAATGCTACATATCAAATATGACATAAAAACTTTTACTTTGTAATTTAAAACCTTGAAGTTGGGGCTCTGTCTCTTTAAAAACTCCTGCTTCTTCTGAAACTCCGCCTTCAGGAAGTCGTCACGACATGGCTCCTTTAGCAACGTTTCACTAAATAGTAGGTCCTACAACGAGCTCAGCAGGTTAAGCTAATTGCTGCTGGCTAGTCTGAAGGAGCTGGATGGGGGAGGGAAGCTCTGAGGAGGAGCTTTGTCCTTGAAGGCGGAGCTAAGTCCAACCAGGTGTTTTGCTCAGCTGAACGGTTGCCGTGGGAGATCCAAGCTTTTCTCACACATTCATGAAAGAATTAAGGAAACACTCCAGGTGTGTTTTTGATGAGGCAGTAACTTTATAACACGATGTAAAGCTCAAAAAAGTCAATTTTACACAACTTCAAAATGTTAGTAAATTGCTGTCTTTGCATTAGATGAGTATTTCTTAAAATGAAATAATATTGTTGCTTCTTTTTCTTTTTTCATTTTGTTTTGTTTGTTTTTTAGTATTGTTTTGGTTTACTTATGTATGAAAAAGTTGAAAATAACCAATATAAACACATAGAAAATAGCTTCTTCCCTAATTGTTTGCTTTAATTTTAATGTTTGTTTTCTTAATTCTCAACAAAGATACGTTTAAGTATTTACTGGTTTATTATTTATGACGGTTCAGATTGTGTGGAGGAAGAACAAAGAGGAAACAAAGGACATCTAAACTTGACAGCGAAGAATGAGGAAGATGAAGTCAGAGGTACCTTAACGTCTCTGTGGATGATGTTGTTGTCGTGGCAATAACGCAGCGCCTCGAGGATCTGCCTCATGTAATGGCTGAAACCAAGACGTCATGTAGTTAGTGTTGCATCTCAGCGTTTGTTCAGCCTCATGACATAAACAGCTTGAAAGTATCCAAACGACAGATTAAAAGAGACTACAAATGGACACCACATTTAACAGATTTACACTTACAACAAAAATTAGAAACCTGCGTATCATTTCCCCAAGTCCCCCTGAAACATGTTGAAATTTGTAGTTTTAATGTATTAAAATGTAAAGAAAAAAAATAAAGATTCAGTGGGATTGAATACTTTGGCGAGGCTCTGAAGGAAAACCGAAGAGTTGGTCGCTCACCTGGCCACTGCCTCGCTGTAGACGAAGCCAGCATCCGCCCTCTTCACGATCTCAAAGCACAGGTCTGCCCCGTCCATGCTGACACACACACACACACACAGGGAATGTTTTTAAACTCACGTCTGAACTCAGGAGAAATCTGCACAAAGGAAATGTACGTGAGCTCTGAAGCTAATGGAGCTCAAGCTATGTGCTGCGTTTAGGGCGATCACCGATCTCTACAAAGCCTGACCTGTCGGTTCCCATTTTGGCCAGTACCGATTTTTTTTTATTTTTTATCCAAACCATTGTTAGACAAAGTGTGCAACAGAGTTGCTACTTTAGCAACAGTGAGGCGACTTTTTGTCAACCGCGCAGGTGCAGATGTGAGCTAGTGAGGTGGTCACCCAGTGGTTGATTTTCAGACCTTTGTGGAGGTAAACAGGACAAATTGGTCCTCTCTCTGGTTACTTCTATTTGCATTTCAAATGACTTTAAATCAAGAGCCAAGTGTGCAAACTTAGTCAAGGATACCGTTCACACAGATTCACCGAAACTCTCCTGGAATATCAGCTGGGAAATTCTGGTAGACCAAACATGGCTCTATGCTGCCTTGTGTCAATGGCTCCCCCTGGTGGTGGAGTGTATGCATGGACCCTTTGGAACATGTTGGCGCCATCTGAGCATCATTTAAACCCCACAGCCTTATCTTAGTAATGTTTATGACCCTGTCCATTGCTTTATAGCCACAGCACAACACACCATGTCATCTAGAAGCTTTGGATCGTCATGGAGACTCATGTCATTGATGAGCAGACGACAAACTGTGTGAGACCATCATGTGAATACGGACCAGGATCTCTCCAAAGTGTTTCTGACAACTAGTTGATCCACTCTTGTATTAAAAAAGAAAAGTGGGTCAATCCAATAATGTTCCTAATAAAGTGGCCTGTGAGTTTATATCTAGAGAGAAAGTTTAAGTATCCTCTGGGGTCGCAAGTTACCAATTAACAAGTCAATCTAACGTTGATTGATCTCACTGTTTGATTAACATTAACTAATAAGTGGCCATTTTCTCAAACCCCGGAGGTTTTCGGTTGACGAGTTATCGCTGCTCTGCCATGCAGCTCGGCTGAACGAGCGTCATCACGGTGAAACTTCAGGAGTTTGTCGAGTGTTTATAGAAACACTCGACAAAAAGTTTGTTTTTCATCCCACACTGGACTCCGTTTGGATCGTTTCACTTTCCCACTTTGGGATACTGCTGCCATTTTTACATGTGTATTAACTACTGATGCTCGAGGGTGACCAGTGGCGCCCTCTACTGGATGGTGGACAAACTACAACAGTAAAGGCAGGTCTGAGTAGACGTTATTAGTTAATTAAGTGGAACTAATAAACTATCAATCAACAGTTCCTTGTAAGTCAATGAATTGTTTGCAACCCCAGTGTCCTTCCTCTAGATTTTCCTTTGTGAAAAGTGGTGAGAAACAGATTCCTCCATCTAAATCAATGATTAATGACTAGATGAACGGGGAGAGAAAATAAGTTAATCTTTGGATAAACTCCGTAAGAGCCCGTCTAATCTGATTTAATCTCAGATTTCATCAGTAAACTCTCGTAGCAGAGAGATGGGGATTTTAGCACCCAGTCCCTCTGGAGCGACTTGAATGAGAAATCCACCAGGACAAAAGTTGCAACCTGAGGTCCTTCACTTCCTCCGAGATCAATAAGCTGCTAGGTATGAAAACAGCTCACACACAGCTGACTGAAGCAATCATCCAGTAGTTTAGTTTCTGCTTTTAGCTTCACTCATAACTAGCCCTGCTTTAATTCTTCTGTAGAGCTGCTCTTATATACTTTTTTGGCACCAGTGGCCTTTAATATGACAGCTTATTAGGGCCATTGCAGATGGGGGGTGGGGTGGGGTGTGTGTGTGTGTGTGTGTGTGTGTGTGTGTGGGGGGGGTAAATTTCTGCCAGAGCAGAGCCGCTGCTCTGAGGCCATCTGGTTAGGATGCCTCCTGGACGCCTCCCTGGTGAGGTGTTCTGGGCCCATCCCACCGGTGGGAGACCCAGGACACGCTGGAGGGACTATGTTTCACCTGGGAACGCCTTGGGATTCGCCTGGAGGAGCTGGAACAAGTGGCTGGGGAGAGGGAAGTCTGGGCCTCCATACTTAGACTGATACCCTGTGACACGACTCCAGATACGCGAAAGATAGATAGATAGATAGATGGATGGATGGATGGATGGATGGATGGATGGATGGATGGATGGAATTTCTGTCAAAAACTCAAAAAGTTTTAGATTCATCTTAAACATTTTCTGGAAGAAACTTGGAAATTTCTGGGCTCAAAAAGTGGAAAATTTGCAAGAGGAAAAAAAAATCAGAAATTCTTAAGCTTAATTTGACATAAAACAATTTTTATAGAAATCTTCTGAGTTTGTAAAGTCAAAAATATTGACTTTACAAACTCAGGAAATGGTTGACCCTGTCAGGAAATTGTCTGAGTTTCTAAAGTTGAAAGTTTTTGACTTTTCAAACTCAGAAAATTTCAGAGATTTTTTCCTCGCAACTTCACGACTTTTTTGAGCTCAGACATTTCCGAGTGCCTTATAGAAAATTTCGGAGATTCATTTCAAAATTTCTAAGTTTTTTGGCAAAAATTTGCTCATCTGCATTTGCCATAATATACAGTCTTACTGAATTATTCATTCCCAACAATTAATAGACAGTAATCTCAGAGGAAGTGGCCAGAAAGAAATGCGGCAAAGGGACTTGAACTCGTGGCGGAACGGTGGAGCTCAGTGGCCCCGGGACACCCTGCTCTGCTGCAGCTCTTCAACCTGTTAGCTGCACCTGTTTCCTCCACCCTCCTGCCTAGTGTGGCCTGGGATCTGGAACGGAGAGACAGGGCATGTGTGTGTGTGTGGAAAAAACAGGCACACACACATAATAAAAAAAGCCCCGAAAGCATGAAAATCCCTTTAAATGGAGCTCACTTGCATTTCCTTCAAAGTCCCCTCTCTGTGCGCGTGACACCGGCGCGGCGCGAGCGTTTTGCCCATTGAGGCGATAACAGAATTACACGATAAAGGAATTAGTTCTGGAAGAGCGAGAGAGATGAAGATAGAGAGCGGGCCGGGAGGAGCTCCGGGGAAGGCGCGGCTTTTAGAGAAGCTGGAGGTAGCAGCGAGTGTGAAATCTTAATCTCATCTTTTCTTCCTCCGCGAGGCCGCTCTGTCTCTCCTCGTTCCTCTCACCGCGGCCCGTCCTCGGCTAACGAGCTTCCTCGTATCCGTGCTGATTATATAAAACCGCTGTAGGACACGCTTCTTCTTGTTGTTCCTCTTCCATTGCCTGGCTGCGTGGACGCCTCTCTCAATCCCACCTCATTCTGCTTAAAACGCGCTGTGATATCCACCTCTGTTTTGTTTTTTTCTTCCCCACTACTGATCCACCTCTGTGCGTGTTCTTCAGATGTGACCTGGCAGCGAGGGCTTACAATTCAAACACCATGTAGAGCATGCCGTCGGAGCTGTAGGTCTCCAGCAGCTCCACGATGTGGGGGTGCTTCAGCATGTGGCAGATGCTGGCCTCTCTCTTTAGATCTGAGGAAACACAGAAGAAGACAAGAAACACGGTAAGCACTCATGGCATTAAGAGCCATACTGGGGGAGGAGGGGAGGAAGGGGTAGTTAAGTAAAATTATGAGATATAAAGTCGAAAAAAATGCGACTCAAGTAACGGAAAACTCCGACTTTATCTTCGTCGTTTTATTTTCTTCATCTCTAATGTTTGGATCTTCTAGACCTTTGTCACAGACATTTTATGTCAAAAGCCACTCTTAGATAATTGTTTTTTTGAACAACTAAATGTCACATTTCGGGTTTAGAAGCAGCTCCAAGTTGGCGCGGCGGTGTGCACGGAGGACTGAGTTCTGGACACGGTCGTCACGGTTCGGTTTGCCTCTCAGCTCCCTTTCCTGTTGCTTCACTAACGAATACACTGGAGCCGAAAGCTCCCCCGCCTCCCACAATCCCCTAAAAGAAAACAACAACAACACCAAGAGCAGTTTCAGGAAGTACCCGAAAACTTTTCCCTGCGTGTTAAATCCAAGCTGCTTACTTCGTCTGGTGGCCCAAAAAGCAGCTTTTAAAGAATCAGGCGACACGCACTTCAAAAGCATTTGCTTAAATATGATGAGAAACGCTTTGATCATGCTGTGTGAGTTTAGCGCCACAATATCTAGCTTCATTAGCCTCTTTAATGTGGAGCCTCCAAAACAATCCAGCAGCTGCTTGTTATCACCTGACTGCTGTGAAGATTGTTTGAAATTAAGAGATATTAAGCTCTTGTTTCTGGGTAAATGGATAACGATTATTCTCAGTCTGTTTTCTACATAGATTCTGCCGATCTCTTGCAACAGGGGCGTGTCCACTTTTCCTTCTTCCTGCAGAAAAGGATCAGTGTGATTCCGTCCTTGTAGTAAACTGTGACCTTTGAAAGGACTGGAACGACCTTCTAAAAAGTGCCGCAATAAAAGTTTCCACTCTGCGTGTGAGTCAAAAATACTCTTTTTTCAATGGTTTTACTGGCTCTACAGGCCTTTGTTTGACAGCAGTCGGGCAGATAAGTGGGTTGTGAGAGAGGAGGAAGGCACGCGGCAAAGGTCATCAGGCCGGGACTCGAACCTGTGACGCCCAGGACAATCACTGAGGCCTCCGTATTTGGGTGGCACGTTTTACCCCTGCTCCACCGCCACGTCCGAGTCCAATACTTTTATTTTGTAGTGTGGAATGTTATAAAGGATTGATCAAGTGATATTACTCAAAAGCAGAACAATAGTCAATAACAATATGTATGTATGAGAACAGCTGACCCGTTTATTATTAGCAAGATGCAAGCGTTGTTGGATAGAAATACTGGAGCGGACTAAATGCTGGAGCAGAGTGTTTCTATCAGGCTGATATTGGGGATTTTAGATGCACGCCGATATAATCCAACAATATCAAACCGATTCCCGATATCAGTATCGGTTTGGGACACCATACTGATCAGAGCACCCTCTGCCACTGCCTCTCCTGTGTCGCTTCATTTCACTTTAAAACTTATTTTCACAGTGGCTTTTTTGCTTTTTAATAAACTGAACCTGATTTAAACGTCTCCACAGCTTTGCAGTCTGCTGTGTTTATGATGCCGTTTATTCACCGACAAGCCTCTCCACAGAGCCGCTTGATACGACACGAGAGCTGTCTATATTTTAGGAAGCTGCTATGGATGGAAAACGCAGAGCTCAGCATGAGGCACGCACTCCTAAAGACCCACCATGATGACTCATCGGCAGGAGGGGGTCTCATGCAAAAAAAAAACGCGAGCAGCCCTCAGCTCCCCTATGTGCTTTCAAGTGCCGTTTGTTTGCATGCATACCATTACTCCAGATCGTCTCGCTGCAGCCCGGCAGAGAGCGACTATGGCGCTTTAATTGGCTCGTAATGAGGAGGAGGGCTAATGGAGGAGGGTTAGTGAAGCTGAACAGAACAATGCGGGCTGCTTGTTTAGGGGAATCACCAGGGAAGAGACATGACAGTGGGATAAAAACTGAGCAGATACCGCTCAGATCCTCAGGAAAGCAAAAGCAGAGTGAGGGGAAGAAACAACAACAACAGTTTTACTTCAACAGACATTCAGGTGATGTTTAACGGGGAGCAAATCTGCGGTGACAGCCACGTGCGCAGGTATGAAGAAGAGGAAAAAGGAGGAGGAAAAAAAGCAGCTCAGACGAATCAATATACCATCACCGCCTCTGATGCCGACGGAAAATTGCTCTGTCATGTAAAATGGGATGAAAGCAGTGGCGTCTGGAGGCGCGTTTGAGCGATTAGGAGAGGTTCCAGTGGAGGAGCGACTTTAAATCAAATCTGTCCACATGGACGCTCCGAAGAGAAGAAAGCCACGGCGGAGGAGTACAACTTTAATAACCTGTGACGACTGCATCACACACTACTCTCTCCCTTTTTCAGCATACATACTGCACCTAAATCAGCCGAAGCTGAAGCCCATTTGAACGGGGCTTTTGAGTCCGGTAAGAAGTGTTCAGACTTGATGGAGAAAACGTCAAAGCGTTGGAAAGAAAAATACATGTTTTCCTTCATGGATCAAAAGTTGTCGACAGTAATAACTTGTCATTCAGGCATGGATTAAAGGATTGGTTTGGATTTTGAAGGGGTGGGGGAAAAAAGGGCTCTGGGAAATTATTATCTGTAATAATTCACTTTCCTATGGCTTGTTGAGAAGTAAGTAGATACTTGGAGTGGTGGAAAACTACACGCTTCCTTCACATGGTGTGTTGCAAATTGCTTCTCATTCTTTGCAGGCCTGTTTAATCCACCAGTGTTGACAGTAAGATATTCTCTTCTGAGGCCACTGCAGGCTAAATAAATGAAACACTCGCAGTTTGTGGAATCTGCTTCAGGAAAACCAAACACAGCTACGCTAGCATCCAGTTGTTTTATGTTTTCACGCTGAAATAACGCAACAAGTTGGAATATTTACACAAGAAAAAACAGTTATGAGACAATCCATCATTCCTACCTACCGTTCAAGAAAAAAAAAAGATGAAAAAACAGAAAATTACTACCGTTGTCCAACGAGAGAGAGAAAAAAATCGAAGAAAACAGTAACAACGTTCGGATCCTTACAGGTCTTTCACTTTGCTTCCTGCCATGTGTGTTTCACTTCACCTGTCCTGCAGCCTTAACAGTGCATCACCACAGCCGAGCTCTAAGTCGCTGGTTTTAACTGAACCAAGTCTCCAGATTGGTTCATAAAAGTTGTTGCCTTTCACACAAAGTCCGCTGGACTCTGCTTTGATTTGAGACCAAGACTGCAACAGTTGCTACATTTTCAGCTGGTGTGATTCCCTTTCGCACTGCACTGTATCAAACCCTTTGAAAAACCTGTTCCCCTCCTGGCCTGATGTACCAAGAGCCACTGAAGGAAACAACACTGAAGGAAACAACACAAAAACCTTTGAAGACACTGTGTGCAACTTCCTTCTTCACAAAAGTAAACAAAGATGGAGTGGCATTAGATTTTAGTGGTTGTAGGATGTCTCTTTTGTCTTTGGTAAAAGACAATGAGCCATTACTCCTGCTGGTGCTGGACTTGTGTTTGTTTTGGCTGTATTTACCCAGAATACTTTGTGCTGTTGTCCGCTTCCTGCTTTGGAGTGGTCTCTGGTCCGCTTGGCATTCACATTTGCATTTGAACAGCACCAAGCTTTGTAAGTGGACCAGAGTTTACTTTTTTGGAGTAAAACCAGATTTTCTAGGCAAACGAACAGATGAAAGCAAACTAAACAGGGCTGGTGTGAATTCACCCATAAAGTCATCAGCGGAAGTTCAATAGATCCTGCTTCAAATCAAAATATGTTCCACTCTCACCCTAAACCTTTCCGAAAGTAGTTGGAAGTAAGTTGTAGTGAAGTCAGCAAGACAAGTGGAGTGCTGGCCTTAAAAACCACGCCCCTGTTCAACTCAATGTTAGGCACATATTAGGGATAATCCGATGACCCAACCATGTCCCTAACGATTCCATGTGAGTTCCTTTGGTCCAATATATGAATAGCTTAAGTTAGAAAGTTAGAGTAGGTGTTAGAAAGATGAAATCTGAAGCCACTTCCTCTTTTTAGTGTATGAAAGTTGAAATATCTTTAAGGAACAAGTCAAGTCCAACACATTTAGGGCTCTCAGGCCCTGGATGACTGAGAATATACCCCACCATGTGTGTTGCTTGCACTTCCAGCGCCGCTAATCAATAAACCATCAGCACCATGAGATGATGGGGTGTCATTCCAGTAACAATACTGGTTCTTCTCTTCCCCATTACAATACAGAATATGGATGTTTTAACAGAACCTAGACCATTCAGATTAACTGAACCATGTAAGGAAGAATAGAAATCAAATCAAACATGGAGGTCAACAAAGACACAAGAAAAAGTTCTCCATCCTGCTAATCAGCTGGTTCTTAACAATCTCCATCAGACTAACGTTGACTCCGTGTATTCTGATCCTTCCTGCTGATATCCGCCTGCCGATTCACTACAGCAACGTCGACACATCAGGCGGGAAGAGTCCCAGCTCGTCTCTCCTCTTCCTGGTTCGCACGATGATTGACAAACAGCGAGCGATTAGCTTGTTTTTCTGTTTTGCACCAACATCCTCTCCCTCTGTCTTGCTGTTATCCTCCCATTCAGACTCTCAATCTCTCCGTCCATTTGTCGATGGGTGGCAGCCGCAGTGGGAGCTTCAGACAGCCGAGCAGAGCAACGGGGATCATGTTTACAACCTGTCTGAACAGTCTCAATCAGTTTATTCAAAGAGCACTTAACTTTATTAACTGCCTGTCTGACTGACACTTCTGCACCAGCTCAGTCCGGGTGAACGCTGGCTAAATTCACCAGTCACCCCCCCCAAGTCCCAGTAGGACATGTCCCACATGTCCCTGGCTGCGTCTGCAGAAGGTGATTTATAGCCAGGAGGACTAATGGGAAGGAAGGTGGAGCTGAGTTGATATTTCTGCAAAGCTGCGATAGAGTCGCTGCTAATCACTCCCACGCCGCGCTGCGAGTGAACACGCCGCATAGCTTCACCACGTAGTCGCAGTGACATTTAATTAGCTGAAGCCGTGAGCCTCGGCGCTAACATTAAGCCAGTCCTCTGAGGAGGGTCTGCGGGGGGAGCCCAAGGCCTCCGCTGGCTCTGCCACGATGCTAATGCTGCTAAAAACGCCGCTGTTATTGTGGCGGGATGAGCTCGCTGCTGATATCAGCCGCCGGAAGTCCGACTGGAGATCCCGAATGATGCTTCGTCAAAACGAGAGGCGAATTACTGAGCCGGTGTCACAGAGTGACGGGAGACTGTCCGAGGAAAGTCACTGTCTTTGCTTTTTAAATGGCCTTTATGTGTGTGTGCGTGTGTGTTGGAGCGATCGAAACCAAGACACATCCATTGATCATGGAGCTGAAGTGTAATCAACAGCGTTATTGACAAATAAACTGTTTAAAAAAAAGTGGGAAGACGTGGATCCGACTGGAAAACTGTAGGCCTGATGGAAGAGTGTGGAGAGACGGTGTAGATCTGTCTGTTCATTCATGGGACAAACTAAGTGAACCCACAGGAACAGCAGCTTGTTAGCCGCTATGACTTTAAGAAGGTGTTTACACTGCAAAAACACTAAATCCTACCATGTGTTTTTGGTCTTATTTCTAGCACAAATATCTTAGTTTTATCTTATTTCAAGTCTCCTTACTTACACGTAACTTTTCAGCAAGATATAGAAGCTTCTTTTAAGTAAATAATTCCTTATTTTTGATAAAGTACTACAGATTATTTCACTTATAAGGCATTTTTCCCATGTTATAAGGACTCTGCTGAATATGGTGGAGTCAGATTATTAAAATCAGCTGCACATGCAGAGCTCCACAGTGAAATTAGACTCTAATCCAAGTTAAAGCAATTTCATTTCGATGCTACAGAACAGGACCAATATGATTCCTTCTCTGAAATGTGTAAACAAGGCAAAGAGGCGACTAAATGCAGCTGTCTTGATGTGTCTGCTGGCACTCAGCCCCATAACCAGGCTGTTGGGAACGGGGCTGTTTTAGGGGACAAACGAGGGGAGAAAAGAGACAGTCAGCAAGAAAGCCTCTGCTAAACAGAAATAAAAGCAAGAAAGCGAGCGACGAGCAGATGGGATCCCCGTCCGTTTCTGCAGCCGGGACAGAAACAGAACGTGAAGACGGCAGGAGGAGACAGATAACGGATGGAGGACAGAAGAGGAAGACGAAGAAGAGGTGAGAGCTCAGAGATCAGGGAGGCTGATGGCGCATGATGAATTTTCTTCATTCTCCAGCTTGGTTTTCACTTTCCTCCCCTCAGAGGGCTGACCTATTCATCAGACGGACACGGCCTGTACGTGTGTCTCTGTGTGTGTGTGAGCCGTGGTTGACCAATCCATTCCCAAGTCACAAAGCATTCTGACCCACTGCCATTTGTCTGGGCTGTGTTCAGGGTGTTTCTGGCTCATGAATCCAAAACTGTTCATACCCTTGGAGGATTTAAGTTTGAAGTATCGAATGATTCCAGCACTTTGATTATTAAAGGGGCGGTAATCTGTGTTTTCCAGGCACATAGTGCCATTTTACAGCACAATCAAGTAACTGTGTTACCTTCAGCAGTCATAAAATGCTATAAATATCAAATATGACTTAAAAGAAATTTTAATTCGTAATTTAACGTCCTGCATCTAATGTATCTAATACATCTCTTTTTATCTCTGATTAAAGCAGCAACAATGGTTTCACTCTGCTTTAAAGATGGAAAATCTCCGACACACCGAGGATTACAGTTGAATGTTTTTATTAGTAATACCCGGTTTCAGACCTGCTGTCCTGATTAGTCATCTGATGCCAAATTTAGCCATTAAACCTGAGAGCAGAGATTTCCAGGGCTGAAATTTCAAAATACAGCATTGAAAAAAAAGGTGTCTACAAAAGCTTTGAATTTAAGAAAAATAATAAACTGTTGACATTTAAAAGAGCAATTCAATATTTTGCCACTGTATGCTGTCTTCCTGAGAGACACAAAAAAAAAAAAAAAAAAAAGGTTCACTGCAGTGAGACATGATGGGGAGAGAAGCCACGCTTCTCAAACTGTTTAATATGGACTCTGTGGTAAACGGCTTTTCAGCAGACCGGCCGCGCTCTCTGCATTCCTCCTCGCTCCCTCTCCATTGTATCAAGCTTATCGCGCCGTACTCCACCCTGCGAATATCTGTAATTCAATCTCTCCTCCTCTTTTGTTCCCTCATCCCTCCCTCTATCGCTCTCCTGGCCCGTGGGAGATGTCGGATAAGTCCTCTGCATGTTTTGTCTAGACGATACTCAGCAGTCTTTTCAGGATTACTGGTGCACAACAACTCTGTAATAAACTGAAAAATAAAAAGCTCACCGAGCTTAGAAAAGCAGGGAGGATTCCTGCTTTTCCAATACCTTAAATGTCTGTATAGTTAAAAAAATAAATAAATAAACACTCCAGCTTACATTAACGTCCTGTAATAAAGTGTGCCATGGTGCAACACAAAGTGGGAAATACTGGTTAGAATTGACCAAAACCATTATAGTCAATAGAAACCGTCTGCTGTTTCATGAGCAGTCGCTGTTAAGGTGCCCAAGGTGTTATTTGGCAATGAAGTGCCACGGTGGACCAGTCCAATCACAACATAACGGAACGGGGAAACTCCAACAGAGTGAATGAGAAGTGGGCCAGAGTGTAGAAAGGCAAAGATGTCCTAATCCAACCCCGATCAAAGCTTCTTTAAAATGACTGGTGTCAAAGTTTTTAAAAAAATACAGCCTAGTTTTATGTGAAGTCGCAGAACTATATTATAAGCCAAGTATATAAATTAACTGATGTCAATCTAACCATTTCCCCTAGCAACCTTTAAGACCTTGTCCACTTAAAGACGGGTTTTTATTAAAAAAGTCTCTGCTACATAGTTTAAAAAATAAAATAGTGTCGTACATGTAGGATCAGTTTCAGAAAGGACTTCATTCACACAAACCAGCACAAGTCTGCCACCGATTATTGTTTCAAACATGCCAAGCCCACAGGGGGCAGTGTAGCGCAAAGCTAAAACCTGTCAGCCAATCAGATTGCTTCAAAATAACTGTTTAATTCCTGGTAACATGGCGCGAGGAGGTTCATTTGTGTGGACAGTCAGGTAGACGGGCTGAACTACCTTTAAATAGCATATTAGAATATAAAGTTATTAAAATAAAAGACGAGTTTGATTTGGAGACATGTAAAGCTAGCATGTGGATGTGCTGGCCCATTATTTGTCACAGACAATAATGCGCAAAACTTTAAATCTCCATTTTGTCAGGTAAACACAAATATGGAGTTCTCTCAAATCTCCACTGTCTTCTGAGTTTTTATAAGTAATTCTTTTTAGTGGTATAACACAGATTTTTTTGTGTGCGTCTATGAAAGGCCAAAAACACAAGAATGTATTTGTTTTCCTTTTTTCTGTTTTCCCTTCTTTGACGTTGATGGTGATATATCCATGATCAACCCGAGTTACCAAAATGAGCAACAGGTCATCTAATCAATGAATCAAATCAAAACATAAAATCAATATGCTTATGTTAGCATAGCAGTTAGCAATGACACGAACCAGGAAAGCTGGATTTTTATCTTCAGATTTTAAGAAACACACACATGAAGCGTTCTTGAGCAGTTTCTGAGGTAATCCAACAGTAAGACAAAGGGAATAAATGATCTTCATCTTCAAATGTATCTTCATATTTTCATTATTTGGACAGAAATGGCTTGATTCAGGGCAGCATGTTTTATGTTGCCTGGATAATCACAAACAGCTTTTCACATTTTGAGGCTTGCTAATTAACTTGGCATAAGAATAGATGTTAAATGTGTGAATGGCTATCACCTTTTCTTCAGCAACAGCATTTTGTGCATGGGACACCCACACACACACTCACACGCTTTACTCTTGGACACGACTTAACAGTCAGACTCAAAGACAAAGGAAGTAGAGATGGTTTCATCGGTGACGGCCCCACCTTCTGTGCTGAGACCAGGGCTGGACGTGAACTGGGCCACATCCACGATTTTGACAGCAAACTGCTGGCCCGTGTCCCTGTTGATGCATCTCCTCACCACGCTGAAGGGACCCCTGTGCAACACAGACGGACAGAGAGAGAGAGATCAGTTAGCACATGGAAACATCTGATTGGTCTCATTTCACACCCACAAACACACAGAGGAGCAGCCATCGGTGCCAAAAAGAAGGCTAAAGTTAGCTTAAAGTGACACTGATGAGAACATGCCGGTTTCAGAGAAGACATGAATGTAACCAGTAGAAACGTAGGTGCAGCGAAGCCTCGCCTTTTTCTGTAGAGCATTTCTGTAATATTATGAAAAAAATGCAGCCAAAATTCATCGGCGCGATGCTATTAGACATGCTGTCAGCCGCCATTTTCAAAGCATCCAATCCAAGAGCGCCGTTCGTTTTCCTTTACAGTGATTGACTGTAACAGTAAGCGCAGAAATGAAGGAGACTGTAAATGTGTTGATGGATGTTAAGGTATAATTGGTGTTTGAACTATTAAAATAAGTGTTCTTAGAGGCAGTCTAAAGTATTTCAAAACTCTAGGAATTAATGGATGACTGTGGATCCCTGGCCTCCACATATAACGAGGTCCAGCTAATCTGCAAGTCAGCATTTCTGAACTCCATGACAAAAAGAAAAGAATCAAAAACTCATCCACGTTATTCCACCAGATTCCATTTCAAAATAAAACATGGCTAAATGAGACAGCCTTTTTTATTTTTTTTATTTTTTTTTTATTTTTTTTTTTGGAGCTTGTGGTGGTGCTAGTGCTTGGGGGAGATCTGTGCATATCATGAAAACATAGAAGAGGAGTGAGGAATATTTGGGTCAAACAAAATCAATATTATTGCAATATTTAATGATGTTAATTAGGACTGGTCAGTTAATCAATTATATATATATGGCAGTAGGCACATGATCAATATCAACAGATAATACGTCTGATAGAATGGTTCAATAATTTGACTGAACTCAGATCCAGAACCGCACAGCATTCTGGGAGATGTAGGCAGAGGAACGGCTTTAGCCGCTCAACCTCTCACGGCCAGCTATCGAGGTTAGTGGACTCTTTGGTAACCATGGCAACAACCTGTTGAGTAACTTGCAGAGCAGCAGTTTCAGATTTCGCCACTGTGACTCATAACTGCTTAAAAATAAATCAACAGTGGCATGGAGTGAAAACTGTGGAAAAAACACAGCTCCAGAACTGCGGCGTTTCCATGAAATAAGAGACGCAATTAAACTTACACAAGACTGAGTTTGTCCATGCAACAGGTCACTAAAAAACAAACCGCGCAGTCACCCTCCTACCACTTCCTGTCGCCTTTTTCTTCGCGGTTTGCACCAGTGGCAACATCTGGTTTTTGATCATCTGACTCCTGTGACATGAATAAATATTTCCATTGCAGTTTTGAAATATAAACTTATTTCAATAAGGCCAAAAACCTCGTGCCAAAACTTTTCGAAACTGCCGTGCTCCTATGACTCAAATTTAGTTTTCAAAATGTCGAACCGCACAATGACGAGGTCAAAGGAAACATAGTCAGAGTTCAGCAGCAGACCAGAGCTGCACAGACAGTCACAAAAAGCTAACAGTGGAGAACAACCGAGGAGCGCCTCAGCAGAGGGAGCGGCCCTTAAGGAGTCCACTTAGTGTCTCTGGTTTATTATCATCAGGCTGGGGTGAAAGTGCAAGCTGCAGGAAAAGACCTGTGTCTCATAAAGCTCCAGACCTCAGCATGGTACCGGGCTCTGCCCGGCCCTCACGCTGCCTCAACAATGCGTGGCGATCTAAGCGTGTCAGCAAGTCAACATGTCAGCGTGTGTGGATTTAAAGATAAATGAAGCAGCTGATCTGTCCTAAGAATAGACATGCAGGCTATCTCTGGCAGCAGCGTGCTCTTAATCCCTCCAAGTACTTTCTATAGTTGTTTACTCTGCGACAGCGCAGCGGCTGGAAGGCCGAGGAGAAGCAGCCGGGTTACAAATGTGATGATGTCTTACATGACTGACTGGCAGGTGGGGAAGCCTTCCCCACTGAGCCGCCATTAACTCACCGGATGACATGCAGCAGATCATCATTTTTTTAAATAATGGAGATTATAAAGCCGTGAAACACTCGTAAAGCGCCTGTATGTTCCCGATATAGGCCGGCCGGGTCATTACGCGAGGGCTTTATGGCGTCGTTACGGGCGAGGCTTTGGGTCTTTGGGATTGATGAGCTGCAGCAGGACGCATTATGCTGATGTTCCATCAAGCAGTCAATTAACTTCGACACAGACCTTCAGAGTTCATCTCCGGATTGTGCTGCTGACTGGAGCCAGCGCTCAGATTCGTTTTGAAGATTTCCTAAGAAGCCAACTATCAGTGCCACTTCCACTGAAGCGCAGCGTAGAGCCGGTAACCTGCGTTTGATCTCCTGATCGGCAGTGGGACCCCCCGGGGAGCCCGCCGCTCCGCTTCGTTTGGCTTTATAGATGGACTCATTAAGGTCATAATCACAATGCTGCAATATTTATGGGAAGTAACTAAGATAAAGTTGTTTGTGTTACAGAAACAAATAATGCTCTTGAAAAACATTCCCGTTTGTAATAGTCTTCATCAGGACATCAGTCCCATAAAGAAGTGTGATCTGTATCACTACACAGTAACTGCATTTAATCACAGCTTCTCATTTAGTTCTATTTATTGGTAGTCTTATTGACCAAAGAGTAGACACAGTTTTGTAAATAATCCTGACAACGCAGACAGTTATGTTTGTTTTTTTTAATAATTAAATGGAATTAATTATTCCAGCAGAATTTGTTAGTGTGACAGTCCAACTAAAAACGAGTTTATTTTATGTTTGAACATTCTGGCATCCTCCACGATTAGTGGATGCAGATACATAGGAGGGTCCAACATGGAACAAATACAAACATTTGAGTCTTTATCATTAGTTTCACACTTGGGGATATGCTTATTTATTTATTTTTCTGAGCGGCCGGCGAGTGTGCGCCTCATCAGCTTTGAAACCATCCTGTGGGTGAAGTGAAAAACGCAGCAGTTAGCCGGGCTCTCCCCAGAGGAGCAGCTTTTAACGAGCAGAGACACAGCAACACCTCCAACGAACACATGCCCCCGCCGACCCGAAACCTTGAGCGAGTTACACATCCCGCAGCAAATTGCACTCGGCACGACCTCGGTGCTAAATGTGAGAGTCCTGCCATTTCACAGCTAAACAAACCGCGGCCCCCCGGCTGCAGCAGACCGTGGCATAACGACTTGCTTGCGTCTCAAACATCACCAGGGCTGCTCAAGTGTGTGCGAGTGTGCAATTGCAAGTCTTCATGCACAAATGCGGACTGCTTGAGCAGATGGCGATCAAGCCAAAGCGGCTTAGCGTCACAAAGGTGAGGTGGGACTTCACACTGCCTGAAGGCTCACTTTGATTTTCCTCTGAACGCACAAGTGAAAGAGACAAAAGGAAACTTTGAAATTCTCACGGCAGAAACAAACGACAAGTGCAGATATTCTGACTCACTGGGAAGTGAGCAAATAAATAATTACCTGACCTTAAACACACTTGTCTAATCATACCATCTGCCAATGTGGGAGGTCCCTCTACACTGAATGCAACATCTGAGGTAAAGAAATGTTTAGATGAAAGCTAAGTGAATGGTCAGGAAGTAAAGAAGAGAGGGGCGCTGGTCATTTTGGTCTTGCTATTTTTCAGTTTTCTTGTCAAAGCTACTGGTCAAACTTTGTGGAGATTTTGTCTGTGTTCTTTTGGAAGCTGTACAAGTACGAACAGTTTTATTATGGTGACTTCCATGGAAGTATCGTGAGTGTGTGTTATTCCGTCTCATAATTCTGACGTTAACTGTACACTTTGCCTTTTCTCCAGCTCTCCGTCCAGTGATAAAGGCTCCGTTTACGGCCGGTTTCTGAGCGCAATTAACTAAGATCACCTTAGGAAAGGCGCAGAGGTGATAAATTCCACATTCACTGCTGAAAATCTTTACGTTTAGTCAGTTAATCCACTTATTCAGGGCTGAGGGATTGAGGTTCAACAGCCTCCTCAACATTAGAGCTCACTGTCAGCGGTAACATGTTGATGTCTGGCATCAAGACTCTGCCTCCAGAACCGAGCAAAAAGCAAGAAAATAAGCTTTTTCTAACACTTTTTCGACTCCGAAGAGTCGGGCTCCGAGGAGAACTCCATCTCTCCAGCTGAAAGATAACACCGGCGTACAAGCGATGGATCTGTCACCTTCAGGAAGTCGACACAGAGAGGAAAAAGCAGTTCAATCAGGAAAGAGTTTCAGCCGCGAACTTTCTGGAGGCACGCAGGGTCAGAAAGAAGTCATTTGCGATGTTGGCTGAGTCCTCCGCTGCTCTGTTATCGCCTCGCTCGCTGCAGTCCAGCCACTTCACCTCCGACCCCCCTTTGCCTTCACGTCACTGCCGATGAGGGGCCGTGCTCGAGGCTGACCGCTCTGCAAATACCAGGCAGCCCTCGAGGAGAAGGGACAAAACGAGGGAGAGAACAGAGGAGAAGAGAGGCGAGAGGGGAAGCGGAATAAAAACAAAATAATAGTCGCAAAAGAGGAATGTGGCAAAACGATCCAGAGGAAACCGAGAGGGAGGAAAACAGATATGAAGGTTGGTTAGAAGTAATTTAGATGTGAAGTCATCCGGGGTAAAGCTGAGGGTAACGGCATCCTTAATGACACATACAGAGGAAAATGGCATAAACACAAGCTAAGCATGGCTGCAGCTTATTACTTTAGTGAAAACTCACTAAAACTGAATATTACGAGCTAAGAGGACACTCTTGAAGATTTTCTCAAGATGTCAGATGTTTGGTAGCAACTATGCTTAAATCTGTATCCGACTCAGACATCTCGTCCATCAAGGCATGGCTCCAAACTAGAAAAGACAAAGAGGGACTAACATCTCTGTCCCTCTTCCATCCATCAGAAATGTCAGTAATAGGTAATAATGTGAGCCTGTGAGCAGGGTTTCCTCCAGAGGTGGAGACTCCGGTCACATGACTTGGACTCCAGTCAGTAATAGATTTGGGACTTGAGGATAAAGACTTGAGACCTGCAAAACACTGACTTGGTCCCGCCTCTGGTTTCCTCTACATGTAATTGATCGTGGCAAAATAAAAGCCGCCTCACCTTCAGCATGAAATATATATTTTTTTGGCTTATATTATTTGTGCACTTACACTAACCCTAGTCAGAATTTGAAGTTAATTGAAATATGATGAAACATTAAAACTGACTTTATTTTGAAAAGACAACAGCGCTGGCTCCTAGCCGTCTGGCTGAGAAGCCGGCTTCTGTGCGCTGCGCTGCAAAACTAGAGAGGAAGGTCTGAAGTAGAGGAAGAGAGAAAGGCAAAAGATGGAAGGTTAAGTTGAATGTGTTTTTAGTGAAAATGACCTGAATGTTCATGTATGTTGAATTTGAACAAGAGAAAGTTAGTTAACTAACACAGTTTGTCCTCAGACTTAAAGTTCCAGATGCGTTTCAAAGGCTCCCTGATTGTGGTATTGAGTCAACAGCACTGTGTCACCATTTAAAGGGAGTTGACAGACCAAAATTTAACACTGACACAATACCGATGGAAGCTACCAGCAGTAAACAACATACTATGTCTATTCCAGCTCTCTCTGCAAAGCAGTCTGTGTTTATCACGCTCCCTGATGAAGTAGGAAGCATCAGCACCGGTTCTGCCTCAGAGAGCGGGGAGGTGGAGAGGAGCGGAGAGGACACGATCTGAAGCTCTGACAGCTTAAGTGGCGGAACTCGGTTTCTCTGAAGAACTCTGCTTGCACATAAAGGAGGCGCGCGGCGACTGAATGGGCCTCAGCTGCACGCAGCCGTTCCAGCTCTGAATGGGAGTCAGCTGCACTTGGCTTGTTCCGATCGCTTCTGCTCTTTAGCCACCCGCACTGAAAGAACAGGAAGAAGGAGAGAGCGGCGGAGAGAGGAAACAACCCCCTCAGCCCCCTCCAAAAAAATAAAAACAAAAAACGAGTAGAAATGTGGACAGGAACGGGAGGTGAGTAGCGTATTTTTAGATTATCCTAACGTTTATTTATTATCCAGGAACCTAATTTATTTATTGTTTAAAATGAATGAATTTGTCACATGTTGATGTAAGCAAAAGTTTGGATTGAAAAGCAGTTGGCTGGAAAAAATAAATAAATCTTATACAATCTGTCTCTTCTCTCAAAAGTCAGTCGGCTGTATCATAAGAAACTAAGCATCATTCAACCATCGTTATAAATACATCTCTAAACATAAAGCATGGAATGTGCATAACTATATAAAAAATATCCATAATTAAAAAATAGATACAGCACTCTTCTACTTCATAGAATGTTACATTTGTTTGAGGGGCAGTATTATGTCAAAATCCAATTTGTTTTTTAGCTTTATATCAGGTTGATTCTTTCATACAGAAATCCTTCAATTTCCCATATCAACCATTCAGTTGTGTGAAATCCTTGGGTGGATCTAGCACCGCCTCCTCTGACTAAACTCCTCCTCAGAGCTAATCCTCCACTCAGCTCCTTCAGACTAGCCCGGAGCAATTAGCAAACACCTGGTGGAGCTGAGCATCTGCTGAGCTCATTATAGGAGCTACTTCTTAGTGAAACGCTGGTAAAAACGTTGCTAAAGGGTTAATAGAGGAGCCATGTTGGGATGACTTCCTGAAGGAGGAGTTACAGAAAGAGCAGAAGCTTCTTAAAGAGACAGAGACCCAATTTCAAGGCGCTAAATTGCGAAGTCAAATTTCTTTTAAGTCATATTTGATATATACAGCATAATTATAACAACTGAAGGTAACAGTTATTTGATTGTGCTACAAAGTGATACTACGTGGCTGGGAAACATAATTCTGCCCTTTAAAAGTAAAAACTGATCCAGTCTGGATGGTTACTGTAGACAGACTTGTTCCATAAACAGAAACATTCAATTTTTTTTTTTTGTTTGTTTTGTTAAAAATCTCTGATCTTCTGAAATTAATGAGACGTTTAATTAAAGGTAAAACAAGGAGAAGTAGCTCCCCGCTGTGAGGGCTGAACTGTGTGCAGGTATGTCAGATATGGGGGCGAGAATTTACAGCAGCGTGAACAGTAAATGAGCGCGGCCTTCCCTCCCACAGCTTGCAGGAATGAGCTCATAATGACAGAGAGTAACAGCCTGAACTCTCTCTGCTCCGCCGCCGAGCTTACGGCCGGTGGGCGGGGCGTCACTGACATGGCGACCGACGCTGGAGGAGGATTTAGGGAACCCTGGTGGAGAGAAGCGTGTTCTGTGGAGTCCGTGGCAGGGTAACGACGGGGAATTTACGTCAGCATCAAAAGAATGGGCTGTGCCATCTGTCCGTGGCTTTGTGTTGTGTGTTGCTGTCGTAAAGGGTGATTTGCGGACCACACTCCCGTTCCAGTCCGCGGGACATCAATCGCTTATATCCCCTCCCCCCGTTTTGTAAACGCCGTCAGCCGTGCAGTACCCGACTTCATCGCTTTAACTCTCACAGATCTCAGGAAGCACATGGGCATGTCAGGTAGGTCACAGCGAGGACGACAAGGACGAGCTTCACTGCCACTTCAAATACACAAACATTTGAAAAGATGACGGTTAAAGTCACTGAGCCACGAACGTCCATTTCCAGCCCCCGACTTTAATTTGAGGATGGTACAGACAGGCGGTTGATTCAGGTGGAGACTTTGTTTAATTTAAATCATCTTACAACGAAAGTTTGAAAGTTAAACTAATAAATCTGGAGCAGTTCGTCTGCTTAGGAAGAACGCAAGCTAACATAGCTGCTAACGTAGCCCTGCTAATTAGCGAGCTAATGTTAGCATCAAGCACATAAACACTAAACTCAGTGGGTGTTTCTGCTATACTTAGCTTCAGTCTTTCGCCACTGTGTACATTTCAACTGACACTCATTTTAATATCAAACTACTTGTGACTGAGGTAGGGTTTAACTTATGATTTTTCTCAATATGTTCCCTTAAAAAAACAAGCATACAAATAAACCAATGGTGTGGCATAATACGAAACAGCTAACTGTTGCTTGGAAAAGACATTTGATCGTATTTTACGTTTTTATTTCAAGTTTCTAATTTAATGTGAAGATACTATATTTTTCTTCAAGGCTCTGAGACGGTGAGAATCCACACCGGCCCATGCACACACAGCACCAGCATGAACATGGAAAAAGAAACGCTGGAGAAACAGAATCTGCCTGCAAGAAAAAAATATAATAACATACATAATCAAAGGGAACAATGAGAATGACGATAAACAAATGAACAAAGTGATTCAGGCCCAATGCTGTCAGAAGGCATAATGAAACTTCAGCCTGGAGGATTCATTAGAGAGAATTGATGCTAAGTGAACGTCACCTCGCATGGAGCCTTAGGAGAGGCGGGAGGGAGCGGGAAGAGCCCAGAGAGGAAGAAATCAGTCCAACATTGTCCACACGCTTAAACCCAACCAGGACAGGCTCGTCCAAACAAACCGTCATGCTGCAGCAGCCTTGTTAGAGCTACAGCCGCCCCCTCTCCACACCTACTCGCCAACCCGGCTCTGCCACCATCTGCCTGGGCGGATCAGAGGAGCAGCAGCTCTAGGTTGACTACATCTACGCTGCACCGTAACTTCATGTAACACAGAGGCATGGATTCCTGCTACAATGTGACACAGAATGATGTAGGGGTGGGAATTTATCGCATTATCGTTTATCATTTATTGTGATACATTTATTGTCACATTAAATTCCAACTAATGTTTTTAAAAAACTGTCTCGTGTTGTTGGGATTGTTATTTTTACTATTTTCTCTACTGTTTGTTCATTAAAAATATCAATGAATACATCAATAAATTAGAAAATATGATTAAATGCAGTTACTGTGTGCAGATCAGTGATACAAATCAATCTTTATGTGACTGGTGTCATAAAGAAGCGTATTACAACTGGATGTTTCTCAAGAGCAGTGTTTCTGTTTGTGGGGTTATGACTGCTGTGTGATGCAGTCACAACGACACAGTTACCTAAAAAATAAGTAATAGTTTTCATCGTCACAAAATATTTCCATATAATTTTAAATTCATATTGCCCCATTGTGAGTGAGTCCACTTAGGCAAACATTTAGTAGTTGTGAATTTAGAAGTTTTAGTTCACTGAGAAAATGTTTTCAATATTGACCCTTTGCAGCTATGTTACTCACACGAGTTCATAGCAGAATTTAAAAAAAGTTGGAAACAACTAGCTTAGAAACTAACTCATTACATGCTAATACGCTGCTGTAAAAGCAAAAATCCTTCCAGCTGCACAGAACCAGAGGGAAAAACTGTCCACACCTGCAATGATTCCACCAGAAGAATGATGAATTAATGCTAAAAAGAAAAGGAAAACAAATCAGACTCAATGTAGCAAAGCTACTCCAACATGCTGCTACCAGGAGCAAAGAGGCTCTATAAATCTACTTAATCAAACCAGATGTAACAAAATGTGCAGGTATGCAAAATTACACCAAAACTAATCAAGGCTTTTACAGAAATGATTTCGTATTACGGTTTTCTACGGAAGCCGAGAGGGAATGTTTTCTGCATTTATTTTTGCTCCATGGTGTAACAAGTTCATTTCCCCCATGGTCTTCCTGAGATGAACCAGATCCTTCAAATCGTTGTGGTATGAATTTTGATTTAACACACACTCCAATCATCAACAAACATTGTTTTCTCAAGATTAACCCGTTCTCTCGAGAAAACAAGGAACGAACTCATGTCGAGAAAATGGGATATTAACTTGTGTCGAGAAAACCGGAAATGAGAAGACTGAAAATGAACTCTTAATCTTGAGAAAGCCGTCGATTAAGTCTATGCAAAAATAGTCTCATCTTGGCTTCCGTAGTTTTCAGTTCACTTGCAAGTGTTTATTTCAGACCACGCTAGGCTAACGGCTAGCCAGCCGATGCTTATGACCGGAGTGGATTAACACGCGAAGGATTTGGCTGAGTCTCTGAGTGAATTCACAGCAATAAGCCCAAACGATCTGGCCAGGAGAAAACCTGGTACCTGATGAAAGAACCACAGCGCTACATCCTCAGAGGAACACAAACATTTCTGCAGCATTTCACTGCAGTCTGCCACTAATAAGAGACGGATGGACGGCTGGCCAACTGAGCCTGCCATCATTCCTCCCCGGAAAAGTCAGAGCGGTCAGCTCTGATGCGCCAGGAATTGTTAAACAGCACTTAATTGACAGCTTTTCGACATCTCGGACTGGCGTCGCCTCATTCTCTTCCTCTCTCTCACACAAATTGATTCAGCGGCCGACAGTGAAGCTTCAATCAGCTTTCACTCAACGGCCGTCCGAGCTTTGGCCTCGCTTATGAAGAGAAGTTGTGGGGAAAAGGGACAAAGACAGAACACAGTTCGACAGCTCGTACAAATGAAACCTGGCGTTTTAGGAAGGCAGAGGACTGTGATGGTGTGCAGTGAAAATGCAGGAGCCTGCAGATCCTGAAGCAACCCAGGAAACACCGGGACAGGTAATCTGACCGGTCATCCTGGTCACTGACCAAACGGAAAGCTCATGCTGACCAGGACAGTCAGTCCCAGTGTTTGGACAAACTCAGGCGGCGTTGACACAGCCAGCAAATGTGACTCAACTCAAATACACTTTGAGTGTATTTACCCCGACTTGATTTTTTTTATTTTGCAAATATCCTTCCTAGTCGTGTTCACCAGAAGTAACATCCATAACAACATGACTCGTGTGAAGCAAAAAAAAAAAAAAAAAAAAAAAAGGGTTTCCCTTGCAGTTTAGCGAAATACATCTATTCTGATACAGATGAAAAAAACCCCCCTCATCCTAGTGAAAAACATAATCGAAAAACATGAGGGTTTTTTTTTTTTTATTGTTTCCATTTAGGAAATTTATTTTTGTACTTTCAATTTGCTTAATTTTATGGTCAATGGAAACACAGCTACTGTTGAATTATCCCATCATTCGTGTCGGAAATAATTAGCAGAGCCAGCAGCATGGATTTGATTCCTGCTTACGTTGTGCTAATAGTCTGCAGCTGACGTTAGCATCTCCTTCAGTCCTGTCAGTCCTGTTGGAGATGAAGCAAAGTCTTCTGTCTTTATCATGTTGTGTATCAGTTGTAGATTTATTATTGAGATTTTAAGTGACAGACCAACACAAAGCAGTGCAGAACTGTTTAGTGCACATGTGTCAAACTCAAGGCCACAGGGGCCAAATCTGGCCCACCATAGCTTTATCTGTGGCCCTCTAGACTCGAGATTCCCTCAATAAGACCCTCCAGTTTTTCACAAATCCTCAAAATTCATGCGAAATCAACAGATCACTACATTTTTTCTGATGTTACTGCAAAATCTTCTCAAAATTGGTCAAAAACATTGGGTTTTAATTGACCACTACCGTTATAGTCCGTGATCGATGCAGCAAGTACTAAAAAACACTTTAGCATTAGCGCAAATGTAAAAAAAAATTCTTACAAATATTTCTAAATTAGCATCACAAAATATGTGATTTTGATTCCAAAAAGCCACAAAAACAATCACAAAATCCTAGAGGGACTGCTATTTATGAATATTATAACAGCGAAAGGGGTTTTATCAATACATTCTGGCACAACCGGCCCTTTAAGAACAATCAGGTTTTTGATGAGATTCAAAATGAAACTGAGTTTGACGCCTCTGGGTTTACAGTCGCTCTTCCGTTGCCAAGTTTATCCGAGTCTCCGTGTGGCAGCTGGCTGCATGCGTACCGATGTATTCCACCAACGATCCCTGTAAATGGATCCAGATTTGGCAGAAACTCAGTTAAACTTTTATCATTTTTTTCCCCCCTGACAGAGTCAGAAAGAGTTTCGGTGAGTGTGCGGACCAGAACAACAAGCAATCAAATGTTTCCAATCGGCCACACTTGGCAGGGAATGAAAGGAGGCCGTAACAATCAATCAGGAAATTGCGGCCATGCATCTACACCTTCTTTAAACAGCTAATTGCGGCGCTGCTATTTTCTTCTCGGTGGTCCCTCTCTGCATCTGGCCGTCTCTGTATTCATGCCGTCACCCCCTCGTCTCTCTCTCTCTCTCCCAGGCATAGCGGTTATGTAAGGAGGCACAGCTAGGCTGCTTATTTACGCTCCCATGAGGATTAGGCAGAAGCCCGGACATGCCAGCACCTGCAAGGCTCACTGACAGTCCACACACACACACACACACACACACACACACGGGGCTACTGCACAGTTGACAGGCTTTCCCTAAAACATCTCGCAGAACAGCCGTTCAGGTTTGGGGTGAACTCTGTTGGACTCATGCTGGATCACACCACTGAGTTCTGACATCAAATAGATGCTGAGACCAGAGGCCTGCCTCACAACCCGCTAGGATGTTCAGGCTCTGGTGAAAAACCAGCAGCTGAAAGGAGCGCGGGCGTCGGCGCATATCAACGAGATCCACCTTAACGTCACGTGTGGGTGCCTCGTCTGAACACACATCCACATCCAAACACTGGATGTGTCGTTTTCTGAACACATCCAGTCTTTGGCGGTTTTTTGTGACCAACGCAGTTTTCTGTGTGCAAAGCGCAGTGATGAGGTAGAAATGTCGTCCGTCTTGCTGATCTTTCCCTTCATTCATCTCAACAACCTTTTCTCCTCCCATTCCAACCTGTCACAATAAATAATTGCTGGACGATAAATTGTCCCAGAACTTATTGTGATAAACGATAATATTGTCGTTTTAAGGCCATTTTCAAGTAATATAACAGTAATAAATGGCAGATTCTCAAGGATCAATAAACTTTAAATTCTGATGAACATTTAAACACTGGAACTGTAAGACATTTGGCATATCCAAGATAATTAAAGAAAACAACAGAAACAACAAACAAAATAGACACTGAAGTCTCTGTCAGCAAAACCATCCTTCAAAGAAAAGACTTGCTGAAACCAAGGCACCAGACTGAAGCCTTTCCTCGTCCAGTAGAGAGACAAAAACAATCACGCAAATGGAAACGAATGAGGTTGTTTTAAATTAACATATGATTATTTGATTTATTGCGACAGGCCTAGAAATAACACAACAGGATCCTTGCTGCAATATTGGAGGAGCGTTGCATAAAGTCCATAGCAGTGGCCCATATGTGAGGCATGTTATGTTTCTCAACCCGAGGCGGACTGGCTCCAAAGGAAAAATCACGTTTTGTGTGTTAGAGCGAGGAAAAATAGTTTCAATAAGGAAACTGCAATTTCTTCATACAGTTGCAGTGAAACTCCAAAAAGATTCTCTTAGCTGAGAAGAGAAATGACAACATGAAAGACGTCTTAACGTCTGTTTAACCTTTGACCTGGATCTCGATCACATTGCCTCTGTAAGTTGAGATTTAAATGTCAAGGCTGTCGCTGCAGTCCCCAACTTTAGATTACAAAAAACAGCTAAGTTATTTCATCGGCCAGAAAAAAAATCGGCAGACATCAGTAAAGCAGTCAGAAAGGAACTGTGTGCTCTGCTGCAAGGAAGCGTTCGCCGTCCTTCTGGAACGCCACTGGAAAATTTCACCCAACGCAAGAGAGATGGGAATGTCGGCGGTGCTCCCGGCTCTTCCTGCCAGGGAACCTGAGCGTTTTCCCAGGTAGATGGAAAGACAGGTGTTCCCATCGCAGGAGCTTCTCTGCAGATCTTCTCCAGAGCCTGCATGCTGAGTAACACGCTAGCTGTCCAGCAACAAGCGTCCGTTTCATCTGCTTTCTCTGCAATGA